CTCTCTCCGAACCATGAGCTTTATCGTACCTCTGCTTTAAAACTATGTATAGATCCTGCCTCCACTACATCGCTTCCCAAACTATTCCCCTTTCCCGGGCTACTCTGTGGCTGTTAGGGAAGACACATATGCAACAGTTAGGGATCTTTATTTCGAAACGTTTCGCCTAAAAGTAGGCTTCTTCAGTCGAGTACAGAAAAGTTGATAGAAGCAGAAGAGACTTGAAGACGATGTAATCAGTCCATCACCCTTGAAGTTTTGAGGTGGTCAGCCCTCAGTCTGGAGAAGAGTATTGTTTCCCTAGTCTGAAACAATACCTTCTCCAGACTGAGGGACTGACCACCTCAAAACTTCAAGGGTGATGGACTGATTCATCGTCTTCAGTCCCCTTCTGCTTCTATCAACTTTTCTGTACTCGACTGAAGAAGCCTACTGTGTAGGCGAAACGTTTCGAAATAAAGATACCAAATTGTTGCCATATGTGTCTTACCTAACAACCTATTGGTATTTTATACCATTTTAATGTTTACCCTGTGGCTGAAGAAATACTCCTAACATCCCTGTGATTCGTCTGTGTCTTCAACTTCCAACAGTGTCCCCTGTGTTGTTTGGACCAGTCTCTGGAACATCCCTCTTTTCTTTTTGTCCACTCTTTTCAATTCCTCTCCAGTATTTTGAATCATTATCATGTCCCCCCTATCTCGTCGCTGTCCTCCAGTGTCGTCAGGTTTGATTTCTCCTTTAACCTCTCCTCGAGGACATACCTCTAAGCTCTGGACTCAGTCTTGTTGGCAAAACCCTTTGCACTTTTCCTCTAGTTTCTTTATAATACATGCTTGGCTATGTGTGGGTTCCAAAACTTGGTGCCGCTTACTCCTCCAATATGGGCCTAAACGAACACGGTGTAGCAGGGTCCCTGAAGATTCCTTATTAAGGATGTCGGAATGCTGATTCTGAGGTTTGCTAGGCGCCCCATATTCTGCAGCAGTATATTTGGTTGATATGCGCTTCAGGAGATTAGCCTGGTGTTATACCTCACCCCACGATTCTTTGAGTGTGTGTGTGTGGTGTGTTTGTGTGTGTACTCACCTAGTTGAGGTTTGCGGGTCGAGTCCGAGCTCCTGGACCCCAGCCTCTTCAACTGATCGCTACTAAGGTCACTCACCCCTGAGCCGTGAGCTTTATCATACCTCTGCTTAAAGCTATGTATGGATCCTGCCTCCACTACATCGCTTCCCAAACTATTCCACTTACTGACTACTCTGTGGCTGAAGAAATACTTCCTAACATCCCTGTGATGTGTGTGTGTGTGTGTGTGTGTGTGTGTGTGTGTGTGTGTGTGCTCAATGCTCGTTATGTCTCAGTAAGACTCGACTCGACTTAGACTTAAACAGTGACAGACAACAAGCCCCTCTAAACAATCTAACTTCTCAACCATCAAGACAATAAAATTTTCCAGCTTGCTGGAATATGACGAACCATTTGCCAAACAGCAATAATGTATGAAGCAGCAGCGAACAGCACAGCTTCAGGTCAGGAACAAGGAGCCAAAACAACGACCCTAACTGGGGACCATCGCAGATCCTCCACAAAGGCATAAATCTCCATTATTACTGAAACTAAGTTCAGCATTACCAAATCCCCAACTACGGCAGTGTGTAGATGCCAGAACAAATGTAGTTCGGAAGATTTAAGTAGGGACCAGAGATGTTCAGATTCCACGACACCAACCTCTGCAAAACTTAAAATTTCAGTGTCTAAATAAGAATTGAACAGAATATTAAACAGAATACGAAAGTTTTCGGCTTATACAAGGAGACAATATTCACCCAAAACAGTCTAAATCACAATAGAACAGCAAACTAACATGCTTGCCAACTAAAGTCAGAGAGCTAAAAACTAGCTAGCTATCTCTAGAACTGCAGCTCCGAATCAGGTATGGTCAGGTTAACTCTACCAGGTTCGCCTGACACAAAACTGCCTAACGAGGAGGCAGGCAGTTACAAGTGCTGGTAAACCAATGAAAAACCCAAGAGCTGGCACAATGAGAGGTGTGTTATATTATTATTATTAAATAGCGATTCTCCCGGCCGGCCTTTCAACGAATGGTGGCCGCTTGGGCTCCTTTAGGGAGTGTTGAAAACCTAAGTCCCCAGGGGGACAAGTCTCCCATCTTTGGGAATGCAGGTACCACCAAGTTCAGCCTCTCTGGTCTGCCATCCCCGCCCAAGGGGCAAATGGGAAGACATCTTATGAGCTAAGGCTCGGCTCAGGCACTTACCTACCTAGAAGGGTTAGATGGTGTCGATCTTTTTGAGAGGGTAGTTGTTCCATTACCTACTTATAATAAGGCAAAAAAAATTATAAACGAGATATTTCATGTTACCTATAATAAAGAACAACTTCAATACAAATTTATTTGAAAATTCAAATAAATTTATTGGGTCCTTTACAGGATATTATTATTATATCAGGGGAAAGCGCTAAACCGGGATTAAAGCGCCTGGGGAGGGATGTGGAAGGCATTCAGCCCTATTCAGGGAACTGAAAACAAGATCCAATTTCCTAAATCAAGAGCCCACCAAACATAGGAACTTCCTTGGGGTCCTTTACGGAGGCGCACTATCAGCATTTGCTGGTCACATTTTTCGCGCTATTTAAAACCTTTAACCAGCCTGGAGAGGAGTAATTAGCCTTTCATCTTGCGTAAAGGTGAGGGTACCTTTCAGGCTGGTAAAGGGTTTAAAAATCGTTTGTGACTGGCAGAGGGATACCCAGTCAGAGGATTGAGGTCATCTCACACAACCCTTCGTGACCCACATGGTTTGGGAGCAGTCGTTTGATCCAAAGAAGGAGGGCAGCTCAGTTCTTGATAAGGTCTTCACCAGCTATAGGAACCACTTTGAGTTTTGTGCATGTATTGTTTAAGACGCACGATAAGAGAAGAAAAGAAATTGACGAGAAATATGATAGAAGTACCTTGCTTTGTGTACCTCTGGTTGTACCTGTTTCCTGCTTGTATGTGTACCTCTGCTTATGTGTACCTCTGCTTGTACCTGTATTTCCTGCTTGTATGTGTACCTCTGCTTAGTGTACCTCTTTACTGTATTCCTGCTTGTATGTGTACCTCTGCTTATGTGTACCTTGCTTGTACCTGTACCTCCTGCTTGTATGTGTACCTTCTGCTTGTACCTGATCTCCTGCTTTACTGTTCCTTGTTTTCTGCCTCTGCTTATGTGTCCTCTGTTGTACCTGTACCTCTGCTTGTATGTGTACCTTGCTTATGTGTACCTCTGCTTATGTGTACCTCTGCTTGTACCTGTATCTCCTGCTTGTACCTGTACCTCTGCTTATGTGTACCTCTTCTTGTATGTGCACCTGTTTGTACCTGTACCTCTGCTTGTACCTGTACCTCTGCTTGTACCTGTACCTCTTCTTGTATGTGCTTCTCTGGTACCTGACCTCTGCGGTACTTGCACCCTTGCTGGTCCTGCACCTTGCTTGTACCTGCCCTTGCTTGTACCTTTCCATGTAGTTGTACCTGTACCTCTATTTCTATGCGTACCTCTGCTTGTATGTGTACCTTTTGTACCTGTACCCTTTGCTTGAATTGTGCTTTCTTTATCTGTCCTCTGTTTTAATTCTTTGCATGTACTGTTGCTTCTGCTCGTACCTGTGCTTGTTGACCTGTGCCTCTGCTTGTACCTGTGCCTCTGCTTGTACATGTGCCTCTGCTTGTACCTGTCCTCTGCTCTTGTACCTGTGCCTCTGCTTTGTCTTTCCTGCTTGTACATGTACCTTTGCATGTAGTTGTACCTCTGCTTGTACATGTACCTTTGCATGTAGTTGTACCTCTGCTTGTACATGTACCTTTGCATGTAGTTGTACCTCTGCTTGTACATGTACCTTTGGTTTAGAAAGACACGTAAGCAAACACTATAACATATTTATTAGAAAACGTTTCGGTCCTGGGACCTTGATCACTTCTAACCTGATCAAGGTCCCAGGACCGAAACGTTTTCTAATAAATATGTCATAGTGTTTGCTTACGTGTCTTTCTAAATCAACTTGTCGGTATTTATTACCAAGGTTTATACCACATGTACCTTTGCATGTAGTTGTACCTCTGCTTGTACATGTACCTCTGCTTGTACATGTACCTCTGCTTGTACATGTACCTCTGCTTGTACATGTACCTCTGCTTGTACATGTACCTCTGCTTGTACATGTACCTCTGCTTGTACATGTACCTCTACTTGTACATGTACCTCTGCTTGTACATGTACCTCTGCTTGTACATTGTACATCTGCTTGTACATTGTACCTCTGCTTGTACATGTACCTCTACTTGTACATGTACCTCTGCTTGTACATGTACCTCTGCTTGTACTTGTACCTCTTCATGTGCTTGTACCTCTTCATGTGCTTGTACCTCTGCATGTACTTGTACCTCTGCATGTACTTGTACCTCTGCATGTACTTGTACCTCTGCTTGTACATGTACCTCTGCTTGTACATGTACCTTTGCTTGTATGTATACCTATGCTTGTACCTGTCTCTGTATGGGTACCTCTGCTTGTACCTGTACCTTTGCATGTACTTGTACCTCTGCTTGTACTTCCCCTCAAGGGAGGTTCCTTGATGCTGGTGAGGGGCTCTTGATCTAGGGAATTGAATCTGTGCTCCAGTTCCCTGACTAAGCCTGAATTACCTTCACATTCCCCCACTTCATAATGATGCTGTATAATCCTACGAGCTTTACCGCTCCTCATATTATAATTATTTATTGTGTACCTGTACTTGCTTTACCCAAAGATATTCTTGCATCCTAACTTGCCCATGTATCTGTATTTGTGCTTGTACCTGTGCTTGCACCTGTGCTTATACCTGTGCTTGTACCTAAACCTGTTCCTGTACCTCTTGAATGTGCTTAAACTCCAGCCCCTGAATAGAAGAAATAATGTTAGTAGGATCTAGTAGTGTTGTTTTGGTGTTGTGGGTTCAGGTGTCTATACATGTCAAGTGTGTTTACATGGCTTGCTGGAGCTTGTCATAACTGTGTCCACCTTGCTTCAATTATTCTCTTCCTCCTCTCATCCATCGCTTCATTTGTAAGATCTGGAGGATTTTGTAGCTTCATTGGTAGTCTAGGGTCTCCCCGGGAGGTAAATAAATGTAAATTTAAATCGGTTTATGTATTTTTTTGGGTTTGGTTTGCGAGGAGACTCGACACTGTCTTACTCTAATTTATGTTAAATGGAATTTTGTAGCTTTGTGATTATCAGCAGCTGTATAGAAGATGTTGTAGGTCAGTGTCCCAGTTTAAAATGGGAAGTTTGCCCGTTCTAGGATGATGACAGCTAATTAGTTTTCAGGTCGTAGGAGAGACGCAGGATTGTCGTAAGCTGACGCGGTTGCGTCATTAATTCACACTTCCTTGTACCTGGACTTGCTATATAGGTTCATGTTTTGTCTCGGTGAGGCCATATTTTTAGGGTTTTATTAGATCGAGCATGTAAACCCTGAGTACAGAATGACATTTTGAGAGGTGTTGTATGTTTGCTGTTTTAAACTGTTTATGTTTATAAGATATTACAAGGATTCTGTGAAATAGTAACTCAGGCTTTTTTGGGTTATCTTAGGTAATTTCATTATATGATAATTGTAGATGTGTCCCATAGCTCAGTGTAGGAGCCACATTCGGTCACACACTGAGGTTTTGTTGATTCCGTTTGATGGAAACATATGGGACGTTGTCCTTTTTTGTCACCTTTTGTCCATGTTCACTTAGCAGTAAGTAGGTACCTGGGTGTTAGTGACTGGTGTTGGATCATCCTTGTAGAATATTGACCAATACCGTTGGCCTGAAATGCTCTGCATATCCCGGGGTTGCTGTTCATTCATATAGTATAGGTCCATTGGATGTGAGCTCTGGTCTCCATAAGTTGTATTATGTACTTGTAGAAATAAAGATTATTATTATTATTTGCACCTGTGTCTAAATACACTTATTTACACAGGTACACCAAGGTACAATTATCATACATATTGTGAATTACGTAGGTTAACCCAAAAAAGTCGGTGACTTATTTCCATTGGGGTCCTTGTAATATCTTAATATATTAAATCTTAAAAGTTAAAACAACTAAGTAACTCAACTGTGAAAATCATTTACAATAAAAGGAATAAAGTAAACTGAGTTATTTGCATTAACATTAAAGAGAGGAGTATGTATAGCTACACAATTAGGATACTTCATTTTAAATGGGCAAAACTGTTTCATCATCGTATCCCTAAAAAACTGTGAACAGAAGACACTCCATGGTTATTTTTGAAGAACATTTGTCAAAAAATAAAATAATAATAATCATTGTCTACATGATACAACTTACATATACCATAGCAGACATCATTGACACTGTATAGAAAGCTCCTGGTTATGCAGTGCATTTTTGGCAGTTAGATTAATTTTGACCCCAGGATGTGACACACACCAATCAACTTACACCCAGGTTCCTACTTACTACTTGGCAAACAGGGACAGCAGGTGTCTGAAGGAATCACGCCCAAATGTTTGCACCTGTACCAGGGATTGAGCCCCAGATACTCAGTATGTAAGCCGAGTGTGCTACCAACCAAGCCATGAGATGTCCTATGGGACCAAAGGATCCCAGTAAAAGTAAGCCACACTGGCATTCTGGGTTGCTAACCCTCTGAATAAATAATTCAAAAATTTTTCTTCCAAGAAGCCTGTAATATTGGCACTCAACACTCATAATTTATATTACAGTATTAGGTAAATATTGAGTTTATAGGTTCATTTGAGTTTTGCAGAAATTTATGATAGTGTGTAATATTAAGAGGTTTGTCCAACGAATATATATATTTTAATTATATTTTGTGCAAATTGCAAATAATAAAGCTACCAAAATGTTGGACAAGTGTCTGAATCATCTATAGTAACTGTTGATGCATTTTTCACTAAGCACCTTGTCATCACTTCATAATTTTTTCAGGACTGTCTCTTGAATTCATCACATGTAATACAGAGAGGAGAAATGAGTGCTCAGAAAGCATCTGCAGGGATAACTAAAGCAACTGCTATGGAAGGTTCTTCAGAACCAGCTGTTAAAGAAGATGCAGAGAAGGCAAGCCCAGCTGTATGTGCCAGTCAGGTACTTGTGCTTCAACGGTTCTTCAGTGTTTCATAATTATTGTAAGGAAGTATTTAAAAATATGAAAATGAGCTAAAATGTTATTTTATTGCAAGTTTGGATGATTCAGAGCAGTTGGAAAAAATACTTCATTTTTAAGCAAAAATACAAAAATGGATAAATAAAGTCACATTGAATGTATCAAATCAAGGACAGCTCTTCATATTACCTGTATGATTTCTTTTGTACATACGTATAGACACTCCTCACTTAATGACTAAGTTCCATTCTTGCGACTGGGCCAAATGAATTGTAAGTGAGGAGCCACCCCCTTACTGATATTTCAGGCACAATGTGCGGGTTATTTGTGTATCGTTCCTGTCATGGTATTGTGCCTTTTTTTTTTTTATTTCAGGCATACTGTACTCGTAATGGGTTTGTGTCAGTCATCTTTAGATATTATTTTAATGTCACCTTTGCACCATTCATAACATTTTTAGTATATTTTTAAATGTTATAAAGTAGTGTACTGTTTACTGTAATAAACAGAATAGAGGAAATCAGCTGATATACATTACTTGGGTTTGCATACTGTAAATACTGGTAATTATTTTTATTTATTTTGAATAAAGAAAAGGTCATCAACATCATCATGGGAGTTATCAGGAGGTGTAGAGGGCCCGGGTAAGGGAGATGATGGCGAGGAAATGGAAGGACTTCTAGGGATAGAGATCTGGGGGTGTAGCTTTCCAGAAGAATCCCATTAGTGTGGTTTGCTTTGTAATTTTCTTTTTTTCTTCATAAATTTCACAATAGCATCATAAAAGTTCATCCATTTGCTGTTCCACTTTTGTGAACCATTCAGCATTCGGGTCCATACCCTCTAGTTCTAATATTGCCACATTCACAATATCATACAATACCAACTGGTTGGAGAGCTGGCTGTAAGTCTGATAGGTTCATTAAACAGGTAGGTCATTAAGTGAGGAGTGTCTGCATATGTATTTTTCTGATAGGCATACTGTATGTTCCACAATGGAGGTTAAGATCATTATGGCCTAAAACTCTTAACTTATGTTTCAGCCCTTGCAAGACCTTGAGGAACGACTAGGTACTAATGGGGGTATGAGCCAAGATGCTGGTCAGGGTAGTCAACCCAACAGTCTTGCATATTCTGGAGATAATGAGGAGGTCTGTGAGCACACTTTGTTTTTCTTTAATACTTGTAATGTTATGTGTGTACATACATCCTGAGCCACTTCTTTTAGGTATGCCTCCATATTGATTTTCGAGGCAGTGTGTGTGTTGGTTTTGAGTGTCTTGAGATATTGTGTATTGGTTTCAAGTGTTTCAAGATTGTGTTGGTTTTGAGTTTCACAAAATAGTAGATGTACAGAATTTTCACCAGTAAAATTAAGCTCTTGCTGGTAGTTTTATCTGACATAAAATTACCAGTGAGAAAATAACTTAATATTTTTTGCTTTGTTAATGCTAATATAATAATAGTAGTAGCTCAATCTACTGAATCATGAATATAACTAGAGTTTCAACTTATAGGAGTACCTGCGTGCAACCTGGCAGCGTCTAGGCGTGGGCCATGATGGTTACCTCTCACTCGATGAGCTTGCTACAGTTTGCCATGCAATCGGAATGGAAAAGGTTGCAAATGAGGTAAGTTATACAAGTTTATTTTGACATGATACATCATTGATACAGAAATGGGTGACACCTGAGGGCATGTTGAAAGCCGATAGTTATGCAAAGCATTGCATGCATTCCTTTTTTTTTTATATATACTTCAACTACCATCTCCCACCAAGACAGGGATGACCCTTAAAAAAACCCACATTTACCATCGTTCACTCAATCTCCGTATTGCCAGACATGTACTGACAGCAGAGTCAGTTTACTTCCTGATTGCAACATCCGCATTCCTCCTCCAGAGTGCATGCACTGCCTCTCCCACCATCCAAGACTTAGTAGGTCTGATTATTCAGATTAATTGAAGGTGAGGGGTGTGGGGAGGAGGTATTCATATAGTAAAATTAAAATGATAGAAATCTGATTTTTATTTTGGGGTAAAAATGTGTGATTTTACTGACACAAATAATAGAACACATTGTTGTGTATTTTCACAAGAAAAATCACCTGAAAATACAAAATGCATTTGCTTAATGAGCTACCATATACAGTATTACTGAGAATAAGCCAAACTTTTTTTTAACCAAGAACTGTAACTAAGCATATCCTTCTTTGTATTAAAACAATATAAAAAATAATAATAAACATACCTTTTATTTTCTTTTTGTTGGGTAGAAGAGTTGTTTACAGCACTAGTTTTGTAATTGGTTGAATAGTTTCAATCTCTAGGAGTTCTGGGGACAAAACTGATGGTCTTGAAATGTCAACTACACAATTGTTTTATTATTCATAGTACAGTGGACCCCCGGTTTACGATATTATTTCATTCCAGAAGTATGTTCAGGTGCCAGGACTGACTGAATTTGTTCCCATAAGGAATATTGTGAATTAGATTAGTCCATTTCAAACCCCCAAACATACACATACAAACGCACTTACATAAATACACTTACATAATTGGTCGCATTGGGAGCTGATCGTAAACCGGGGGTCCACTGTATGTACATATTTGAAGTAAAGATTCAGAAAGTTTAGCAGACCTGGTTGAAGAGTATTTACTATATTTCTCACATGGTCAAACAGTAATATGGCATACATTACTTATCAGTTTATGTTCACAAGATAAAGGGGAATATGGAAGTACAATGTGAAGTAATATGATGAGAGAAATGTATTTGTATTTGAAAGAAAGATTTGCAAAAATATGCAGTGTATAGTGTAAAACTGTCATGCACAGAGCTAAGTGTACAGAGTCCACTGTTTTTATAATGATAATCACAAGGAAATGATAAACCCATGATTGTATAGCACTTTCGAGTGGCTGGGAGTCAGGTTTGATCTGAGGAAAGGGAGGGTAGCTCCAACTCCTTGGAGCAACAACCCTTTGCTAGCATCAGAGCACAGCTCCTTGAAGAGAATGTGTAGAGGAGGTTGTATTGTCTGACCTATTGTACGTTGTATAAGTGTGTCGCGTATAGAAGTTCACGTATAGAGCTGAGTATACTGTCTGATCTGCTGTATACTGTAGAGTATATATACAGATAGGGACATCATTAAGTAGTTGTATAGTATTTTTGTGACTATAAGAAGTGCAAAGTTCCACGTATCCCCCCCCCCCTTCCCTCTCAGGGAAGGTTCCTTAATGTTAGTGATGGGTTCTTGATCCAAGGAATTCCACTTGTCCTCCCATTCCCTGGATGGAACCTGATTGTCTCCCATTTCCCAAACACTTTATGACCCCTATGGGTTTAGTGCTTTCTTTGAATATAATAATCTGCATACTTTAAAGGTTAAGACCACAATACTGCATATTTCTTCTTCTTTCAACATCTCACTGAGTATTGAGGTACTCTGTTTCAGGTGGAAAAGGATTACCCAGACCCGTTGAACACACTTGAGTTATGGTTCCTGTGTGACATCGTTGCTCAGGTAGTTTATGGAGGTTGCTAAAATACTGTAGTTTAATGGCAGTAACTCTGTCAAGTTCAGACTACTAAACATTTCTGTATTTTGCTTTAAGTACTGGCTGAGTATGCAGAATTTCCAAGCAGCTGTTGGTAGCAGGAGACACAAATGGATGTCAGCATTTTTTTTTGAATAATGCAGTTTTTGCTAGGAGTGCTATATTGTTTGAATAGTGTAAAAATTTGCTAATGCAGTATACTGTATTATAAACTTGTATTTTTATGTACTGTAAACCTTGGTGATGTATGTTGTACTACCTAATATTACCATAAACATGACTATCATAAATAGCTAATGTGTTTCAGTTGCTTCATGATCTGAGAAGTTACTTCTGTATCTTATCAGCCTAGCTCCTGTCCCCTGTACCTCAGTGCACATGAAAACAGTACATATGCATTGAAAAGTTGGTGTGAATATTATTTTCATTAAGAATAAGAGTCACAGTAGAATGGCTCAAACACCTCACATTGAAGTAACTAATTGAAGATGACACTAGATGATATTTTAGTCCATCCTGGGCTCTCAACCTGATAGTTTCCAGGTTATACTAAAACATAGTTCAGTTTTATATCCAAACTGTGGCCTGTAGATTATTTTCAATGTAATTATTACTAGTGTTAATAAGACACAATATGCCATTAATGGCATTTTATTGAAAAGATTTTTTCATCCACCACAGACTTTATGAATTCTCACTATCAATTTTCTTGTGAGAATTTATAGTCTGTGGTGGATGAAATTCCTTGTCAGTAAAATGCCATAGAGGGAGTATTGTCTTACGAACATACTTGGCAGTATATTCTATCAGGGATATACAACTATTACTCTTATATCTCCTTGGTATTCTACTGCAGGTTTTGGAGCAGCTGTTTAGTAGACTGGATGTTGATGGCGATGGGAGGATCAGCTTCGAGGAGTTTGTCCACATGTTCCAGAATGGAGGGCCAAGTGGAAACAATTCTTTAGTTCTTGATGAATCTTTGCATCAGGTATGCTTTCACTTTTTTAATACATAATACAGACCTTGGCCACAAGACCCATAGGAATTTTGAGGTGGACAATTTTTTTTTCACAAACTTGTTTTATTACTGTCAAAATAGTCCTGTCTTACAGGAAACTTTATGAGGAATACAAAAATCATGTCAGATTCGGTATAGCTTTAATGAAAAGTACAGAAATTTATGAAGATCAAAACTAGCCACTTAACATATATGCAAAAAACAGAAATGACATCCTATAAAACTTATGCTCAGGATGCCACATGTCTGCCCAAGATTTTACCCCTCCTTTAGGCATGCCTTAACAGGATCTGAGGAGAAAACTCATCCACCTTGTAATACCTATTGGTCTTATGGCCAGGGACTGGACTAACAGTTATACAGTAGATTCTATCTTATATTAATTTATTATTAAGAATGGATACATCAGCAGTGTGCTACTGCCCCACTCTCTATGATATTACATGGGAACAAATGCTAGTTGTGCTTACGTTGAGCCAAAGTTAGTAGGTGGGGAATAAAAAAATGGTTAATAGATTTTCAGAATAAAATACTACAGTACCTCAAATTTCGAACAGCTCCCAACTCGAGCAATTATGTAAGTGTATTTTTGTAAGTGCTTTTGTAAGTGTATTTTTGGGGGTCTGAAACGGACTAATCTAATTTACATTATTCCGTATGGGAACAAATTCGTTCAGTAACGGCTCTTGAACAGCCTTCTGGAACAAATTTCGGCTGATATTCGAGGTACCACTGTACAATATTTTTAATGAGATCAGTAAAATGTGCATTTGAGCAGATTTATATTCTGATAACTAATGATTCATAATCAGTTGAAAAAATATACATTACAGTAATATGTTTAATTGTCATTATCGGTTCCCTTCATGTCGGTGAGGAGCTCTTGATCCAAGAGCCTCCCATTCTCTTGGTTTTGTATGACCCCCATGAGTTTAGCACTTCCCAGTTGACATAAATAAATTACCAGCAGTAGGAGACAGCTGGTGTGTTAACAAGAATTTACAACTTTTTAATATTTTTTTTTTTAACTAATTTGTTCCATTAAAGGGGATTCTTTGAATCCAGTGAGGGCTTTTGATCCAAGGAATTTGACTTGCTTTCCCCTTCCTAGGATCAGATTTAATTGTCTCCCATTCCCCAGGCCCTATAGGACCCTACAGGTTTAGTGCTTCTCTATAAAAATAATAATTCAACTGAATTTGAAATGGAAAAATATAAATGAACCATACATGCCCAAAGTATTAATAATAATTATAATAGTAATAATAACAATATAAACTAACCAGTAAGTGGATAAATGATCATAGGGACACAGCTTCACCTTTGGCTAATTGTATTTTGACAAAGCAAATAAGAGATTGCTATCCTCAATAAGATATACAGTGGACCCCCGCTTTACGATCGCCTCCCAATGCGACCAATTACGTAAGTGTATTTATGTAAGTGTGTTTGTACGTGTATGTTTGGGGGTCTGAAATGGACTAATTTAATTCACAATATTCCTTACGGGAACAAATTCGGTCAGTACTGGCACCTGAACATACTTCTGGAATGAAAAAATATCATAAACCCGGGGTCCACTGTACTTGTATACTCACATGGTATAAAATTGTTTTCATTGCAAGTGTGTATAAAGAGATAGTGTTTTCTAGGATAGCTGTGACATTAAGGAAAGTAGTATGCATCTGCAGTGCATCACTGTATATACTACAGTGAAAACCTTGTTTCACATTCTAGGATGTGCCAGGTACCCCACTTAGTAGAATGAGTTCAGTGAGTGATGAACGGCGTGGAGTAACTACAACCGAGTTCAGCGTGTTCTCTTCGATTGATCCAGAAAATACTGGGTGAGTACAGATCTAGTATCTACAGTAGAATCATGATTTAAGATGTTTCAAGTTGCGATGTTGTCTACTTGTGATGTTGGCATTTTAGAAACTGTTAACCCTTCAACTGTCCAAACAGATCTACATTTACTAGCATAGTGCTCTGAAAGTAGATCTACGTTTTATTTTACATTTGAGAGCATGTTAAATAAAACATAGATCTACGTTTGGAGCACTAGCGGTACAAACGTAGATCTGTGTTTGGACAATTTAAGGGTTAATTGCTTATGAGCAAGTGACTCACTTCCAATGGTGGGTGTAAGTTATGATGGCTTATTCCTGCCTATAATAAGCAAGAAACATACTTTCCATTGAGGAAGGCAGAATCAGTATTCAAGGTAAGAACTGTATAGTATAGTGGCTTAAGTATTTTATTTACCTGTATATTTTTAATATGTGGTAGAAATATATGATGTACTGTATATAAATGCAGTTGAAATGGCTTGAGTAAGATATTGGGTAAAAAATTCTTGGGGGGAAAAGAGTAAGTGAAATTAGAGCTTGGAAAAGCATTAAACCATTTTGGATTGTTTCTTATGAGAAAATAGGTTCAAGTACCTAATGTTAGACTTACAATGAATTTTGGGGAATGTATTAAAATCATAAGTTGGGATCTATGATAAAATGGCCCTCTGTGTATGAAATAAAGCCTAGCATGGAAACATGACATGATTAATGTATAGAATTAATAAATTTAAAAAATTTCTGCTACAATACTTCAGGGTAAATTCCCGCCCCCTTCCATCACAAAAGTGCATTTTTTTTTTTAAATTATCACTCGGTCATCCATGTTAAATTTAATAGTATGTTTAAAGAATTATTTCTAGTACTCAGGACTGGCCCCTAGATTCAAGGTAAAGAGCAACAAGGAAAGAATGCATGAATTCAGGTTTTATGTCACTGGAAGAGCAAAGAACCAGTTCCATCAGGTGTTCCATAGCTCAGTTGGTAGCACACTCAGCTCAAACATTGAGGTCCGTGGTTCGATCCCAGGTACGGGTGGAAACATTAAACATGTTTTCTTAAGACACCTGTTCACCTAGCAGTCAGTAGATACTTGGGTGTTAATGACTGGTATGGGTTGCATTCTGGGGGGGGGGCAAAATTACCCTAATTTGCCCGAAATGCTCTGCATAACTAGGGGTTTTCTATGTAGTATATCAATGATGTCAGCTGTGGTCAGTATAAGTTGTATCATGTAGTTGTAGAAATAGATTAATATTATTATGTTCAGAAATGCAGATTTTAGGCATCACACTATATACATTCAAATTCCTAAATCTACTAAATATTAATTGTCAGTTAAAAACAGAGTAGGGGAGTTAGTAGATGGGGAGAGGGAGGTATTAGGTAGATGGCGAGAATATTTTGAGGAACTTTTAAATGTTAAGGAAGAAAGGGAGGCGGTAATTTCGTGCACTGGCCAGGGAGGTATACCATCTTTTAGGAGTGAAGAAGAGCAGACTGGAAGTGTGGTGGAGGTACGTGAGGCATTACGTAGAATGAAAGGGGGTAAAGCAGCTGGAACTGATGGGATCATGACAGAAATGTTAAAAGCAGGGGGGGATATAGTGTTGGAGTGGTTGGTACTTTTGTTTAATAAATGTATGAAAGAGGGGAAGGTACCTAGGGATTGGCGGAGAGCATGTATAGTCCCTTTATATAAAGGGAAAGGGGACAAAAGAGATTGTAAAAATTATAGAGGAATAAGTTTACTGAGTATACCAGGAAAAGTATACGGTAGGGTTATAATTGAAAGAATTAGAAGTAAGACAGAATGTAGAATTGCGGACGAACAAGGTTTCAGAGTGGGTAGGGGATGTGTAGATCAAGTGTTTACATTGAAGCATATATGTGAACAGTATTTAGATAAAGGTAGGGAAGTTTTTATTGCATTTATGGATTTAGAAAAGGCATATGATAGAGTGGATAGAGGAGCAATGTGGCAGATGTTGCAAGTATATGGAATAGGTGGTAAGTTACTAAATGCTGTAAAGAGCTTTTATGAGGATAGTGAGGCTCAGGTTAGGGTGTGTAGAAGAGAGGGAGAATACTTCCCGGTAAAAGTAGGTCTTAGACAGGGATGTGTAATGTCACCATGGTTGTTTAATATATTTATAGATGGGGTTGTAAAAGAAGTAAATGCTAGGGTGTTCGGGAGAGGGGTGGGATTAAATTATGGGGAATCAAATTCAAAATGGGAATTGACACAGTTACTTTTTGCTGATGATACTGTGCTTATGGGAGATTCTAAAGAAAAATTGCAAAGGTTAGTGGATGAGTTTGAGAATGTGTGTAAAGGTAGAAAGTTGAAAGTGAACATAGAAAAGAGTAAGGTGATGAGGGTATCAAATGATTTAGATAAAGAAAAATTGGATATCAAATTGGGGAGGAGGAGTATGGAAGAAGTGAATGTTTTCAGATACTTGGGAGTTGACGTGTCGGCGGATGGATTTATGAAGGATGAGGTTAATCATAGAATTGATGAGGGAAAAAAGGTGAGTGGTGCGTTGAGGTATATGTGGAGTCAAAAAACGTTATCTATGGAGGCAAAGAAGGGAATGTATGAAAGTATAGTAGTACCAACACTCTTATATGGATGTGAAGCTTGGGTGGTAAATGCAGCAGCGAGGAGACGGTTGGAGGCAGTGGAGATGTCCTGTCTAAGGGCAATGTGTGGTGTAAATATTATGCAGAAAATTCGGAGTGTGGAAATTAGGAGAAGGTGTGGAGTTAATAAAAGCATTAGTCAGAGGGCAGAAGAGGGGTTGTTGAGGTGGTTTGGTCATTTAGAGAGAATGGATCAAAGTAGAATGACATGGAAAGCATATAAATCTATAGGGGAAGGAAAGAGGGGTAGGGTCGTCCTCGAAAGGGTTGGAAAGAGGGGGTAAAGGAGGTTTTGTGGGTGAGGGGCTTGGACTTCCAGCAAGCGTGCATGAGCGTGTTAGATAGGAGTGAATGGAGACGAATGATACTTGGGACCTGACGATCTGTTGGAGTGTGAGCAGGGTAATATTTAGTGAAGGGATTCAGGGAAACCGGTTATTTTCATATAGTCGGACTTGAGTCCTGGAAATGGGAAGTACAATGCCTGCACTTTAAAGGAGGGGTTTGGGATATTGGCAGTTTGGAGGGATATGTTGTGTATCTCTATACGTATATGCTTCTAAACTGTTATATTCTGAGCACCTCTGCAAAAGCAGTGATAATGTGTGAGTGTGGTGAAAGTGTTGAATGATGATGAAAGTATTTTCTTTTTGGGGATTTTCTTTTTTTTTTTTTTTTGGGTCACCCTGCCTCGGTGGGAGACGACCGACTTGTTGAAAAAAAAAAAAAAAAAAAAATTAATTCCATACTAGTTTACTCCACATCTTCAAAATGCTAGATTGTAATGCTGTTCCCGACAGAACACACAGGCATCACACTAGAAACAAACTATTCTTTCATATTCCTCACGTTCACCTGAACCTCTGTAGAAAGTCGATAGAAATAAAAGGGACAAAATGCTGAATAACTTACAGATGGACCATTTTTTTTTTTTAATAAACTCAAACTTAAAAAAGATTGTGCTTGATGAATTCCCCCTGAAAAAATTTTTAATGTACAATATCTGTAACTGTAATTTCCAGGACTTGAGTCCTGGAAATGGGAAGTACAATGCCTGCACTTTAAAGGAGGGGTTGGGGATATTGGCAGTTTGGAGGGATGTCTTAAGTTGTTGTATCTAAGCGCTTCTGCAAAGACAGTGATTATGTATGAGTGATGAAAGATTTTTCTTTCTTTTTGGGTCACCCTGCCTAGGTGGGAAATAGCCGATGTGTTCAGAAAAAAAATCTGTAACTTCTTAAATTGCCATTAAGTTTGTACTTCAGAGTAATAAATTACATCTTGTTCTTTTTGAAAATTTAATCTTATCTCCATTATTATTTTTTTTTTTAATTTTCTTGGTTAAATTTCAATTGAACATTACATTTTAATATAAGTGTCATTCATTAAATGCTCAATGTAATATATTATTTTTATTTTTCTATTGCTAGTATAATTCTTGCTTATGACTGCCTGAAATATAAGCTTAACTAACAATATTAGCTCTAATGTCTTCTTGGGGAAATGTTTATCTAGCTTACATATGATATACAAAATATTATGGGGCATAGACAGGATAGTCTTTTACCATACATGCAACAAGAACAAATTACATTATTGGAAATTAGAGACCCAAACAAGTCAGAGATATCAGCATTTCTTCCAACTAAGGTTGATAAACCATACCCCGGCCGGGATTGAACCCGCGGTCAGAGAGTCTCAAAACTCCAGACCGTCGCGTTAGCCACTAGACCAGCTAGCCACAATAAGATTCGTCCAACTAGGTATATTTCTACACCATAGGAAGGTTAGCACAGGCACCACTGTGACCACAAATGCAAGTTTTTACAGACTAATCTCCAGCTAGCGTGGCCGTGACGAACTCTAGCTCAAGTCCCCTCACTGCCGTCAACATGACTCCTGAAATCGTAATGACACGATTGCAAACAAACCATACCCCGGCCGGGATTGAACCCGTGGTCAAAGAGTCTCAAAACTCCAGACCGTTGCGTTAGCCACTAGACCAGCGGGTTCAATCCCGGCCGGGGTATGGTTTGTTTGCAATCGTGTCATTACGATTTCGTGAGTCATGTTGACGGCAGTGAGGGGACTTGAGCTAGAGTTCGTCACGGCCACGCTAGCTGGAGATTCGTCTGTAAAAACTTGCATTTGTGGTCACAGTGGTGCCTGTGCTAACCTTCCTATGGTGTAGAAATATACCTAGTTGGACGAATCTTATTGTGGCTAGCTGGTTTAGTGGCTAACGCGACAGTCTGGAGTTTTGAGACTCTCTGACCGCGGGTTCAATCCCGGCCGGGGTATGGTTTGTTTGCAATCGTGTCATTACGATTTCGTGAGTCATGTAGTAAGGTTGATAAAGTTGAATGAGCAAAGCAATGACACAAAGGAAGCAGACTCCATACAGGGGCTCAGAAGTAGGTATGGCAGAGCTTTAACATAAACCAAATGATAAGATGTTGGATTGAGAATTAGAGCTTGTCCTCCTCCTTTTCCCTGGAAACTTAACTAAGTAATTTCATTTCACTTCTAATGGTTTGGCTTGACCTTCGTATTTTTTCCTCAACATTTTTCTTGACAGGCATTATTTTATTCTGATTTTGTTTTTTTTATACTGTCCTTGTATAATAAATATATTGTAATCTCATTATTTTAATCATTGTCTTCTATATTATAGTTTTTTTTTTTATGTTACTATTTGGTAATATTTGCATCCTGGCCATCAATAGCATCTAATAAGCCTTCCGTAGAAACAGTTTCTTCATGAAATTTGGTAAGTGCATCGAGCTCATCACTTCGTACCTTGCGAATTGCTTTATGTGTCTTTTCTTGATACTCTTTCTTCCACTCATACTGCCAGTATCTCACCTCTTCCATTGATGTGCCTGTAAAGCATAAATAGCAATAATGTTTATTATTAAAGGTTAAATACACATTTAAAGGAAATATTTTAAACACTGGTTGTTTCTCAAGGCAAGGTAGCCTGAAGAAGGAAAAACATCCATCTAATCTGTCTTTAACACACACCATAATTCAAATGACTCTTAACAGTAAAAAATGTTTGTGCTCTCCCATAATAATAATAATAATAATGATGAAAAAATATTTTTAATTTATACATCAATTGGTGTTTCAAGGCAGATTTATGGAATATAACATGCTCTAGTGTTACTGTTGACTTTCACCTTTCTAAAATGCTGAAAGTTCTTAGTCAAATACAAGTCATCTCTATTTTTCTTTGTAATTGTTTCAAGATAAAATTACTTTTGAATCTAAAGATTTGAAATTATATTTATTGCCATAATCTTTAGAGAAATTTATGGGAAAGAAATATTAAATTATTATAAGGGTGTTAGATTGGCTTGTGTTGTTAGCTTCAGAGTTTAATAACAAACCTGTAATGTACAGGATGGCAAGATTTATACATCCTGCTAAGGTCCCAAGAGCTCCACCAATCATCCCACCAGCTACTATAGCTCGAGGTCCTTGCTTCAACTTGTATAAACTTCCTGTAATACTGCCTGCAGCCAAGTACCTGAAAAGAAATTTTCACAAAGCCCATTTTAGTGGCAAATTAGCATGTGATGTTTGTTTTAAATTCAGACAAGTATTTAAGTAAAAGAAATAGGAAATTAGTATCACTGCTGTCAAAAAGTTAACTATTGTATGACTTCAAATATCAGAGATGAACCCAGATGAGGAAGTAAGAAGTTTTGCGTTTGGATTGCTTAAAATAAAATCAGACAGGATATAATTAGGAAATTCTGACTGGCAGTTGTGTGCCTTTCAGCCACATGGCTACAGCATATATTACTTATAAACAATTTAAATAAATTTAAATTTTCATATTCAAATGATTATGTTAATATGGGTATTGGAAGAAGTAAACTGTAATATGGGTGAAAGGAAAAATATATAGAATAAATATTTTCCTTCATCCATTGCCTCAAATTGTAACCATAACGTGTAAAATATTTTTACTTACTCTAAAACCGAAGGCTTCCCTCTATATACTGAAATGGTTGTACTTAATAGCATAAACGATCCACAGAATAAGCCTAATCTCCATCCCCACATCCATGCTCCACGAGCAAATCCTAGAGTTACCTATAAGATATAAACATTTCTATTATCAGCAGTGATATGTAGTATGTGATGTGCTTATCAGTATTTCAAAATTGGAAGTGCAATAATTTACAGTACTGAATTTTTGTAAGAAATGAAGAGCAAATTTTTTAACAGTATGTAGTACAGTATGTAATCAATGACTTCAGGTAGACAGTACACAGTGAATTAAACTTGTATGACATTCCATATTTAGACTGGTTCCAGTTGATCCCTGACAACCCATTACAGTGCTGTATTAAAATTAATTTTCTCTTACCTTAGTTTGTAGTTGTTTTTGTGCATCAAGGATATTGGCAAATGCAGTTCCTTGATTTTTTTCAATGAATTTGGTAAAATTTTCTTTAGAGTGGATGGTTCCTCCAATTATTGAGCCTGTGAAGGCTCCAAACATGGTACCTTGCACAATCTGTAGTTATAAGACAGTTTATGCATAATACAGTACAGTATGCTAAAAAAAAAAATGGCTTCCTATACAAAAGAAACATTTAGGAGCTTCATTAATCTCCTGAGTGCATGGTGAGGAAAGAAAATGCTAGAAATATTTAATAGTTTCTGGAAAGAGCAGAATGTGTTTTTGAAATAACAATGAGATGTGAATAGATATCCAGTTAAGGTTGAATTTGTACAATATGCCTTTTTCTCTAGTTTTCCTATGTAATGATGTCTTTGCCTTTGGCCTCATGACTAGTCCTTCCAACTCAACAATATTGCTTTCTTTATCAAGTTTAAAGTTGAATGGGAATTTTAGCTCACTATTTTCTTTTGATATACAGTGGACCCCCGCATAACGATTACCTCCGAATGCGGCCAATTATGTAAGTGTATTTATGTAAGTGCGTTTGTACGTGTATGTTTGGGGGTCTGAAATGGACTAATCTACTTCACAATATTCCTTATGGGAATAAATTCGGTCAGTACTGGCACCTGAACATACTTCTGGAGTGAAAAAATATTGTTAACCGGGGGTCCACTGTACTGCCCACTGTTGCTTTTCTTTTTTCCACCTTTTGTAACCCTATTCACAATGGCATGTACATTTTATTTCATTTCCTACCATTCTTGCAGTTTTTGTTTTAACGAGTCTCCAAACTTACCACCTAGATACAGTAATTTACTTGAAAATCCACTGATTTTGTTGTCAGACACCATAACATTAATCCCATAAATATTTCCCACCCATTACTTGTACATTAGCTATAGATGAATTTGAGAACTCTGTTATGGTCATTTAACCTGATGCCTATTTTTATTGGTGGCTACCAGATAGGTCAGACTTTTACTTCTTGCAGCATGTAAGGTATAATTATTATTGATAATTCACAAGGTTCTAGAATCATTGGTTATTTACAGCTGTCTAGCCTATAAGAGCCATTTACTGTAGATGTTGAAGTAGGTGGTGGTTACCTGAAATCATGCTAGTGACCTGGGACTGTTATTCTTACAGCCTCTAACTACTATGGAAAAATAAACAGAGGCAATATACTTATGTGATCCTTTATTGACAATGTTTTGCCCACACAGTGGGCTTTATCAAGTCACAAACGGTTCTACCTGAGTGAAAGGTATGTGAGTATTTATAGAATTAAGTCGGGTGGAGAATGATTGGATCTGATAAGGACCTGCGTGGGACTGGTAGGTGCGTATGTAGTTATGTGGGATAACGAAGAAGTTTCTTGGCAAGGGGTTCAGCTATGTTATAGCAACTGTTGTTTTGGTTGAAGTTGTTGGATATACAGGTAAGTGATGATTCCAGGATTCTGTGGTATTAAGTGTTGTCTTCTCTGGTAATAAGTCTTGTGTTTGTGGTTGATTAAATGGTTGTGTGAATTTTGGTGTTGAACACAGGCATTCATTAAATCATCCGATCTGCCTGCGTACTGGTGTTCTGAAATATGTGTTTGGAGGTTTCTGGATGTTTCGCCCACATATAATTTGCTGCAGTCATAACAAGGGATTATGTATACCCCTGCAGAGGACTGAAGCTTGTCCTGTCTATTACTGGTATGTAATGTCCTTGATGGTGGTGGATGTGGAGGTAGATACTTGGAATGAGGTATTGGAAAGTATCTACCACCACATCCACCACCATCAAGGACACTGCCAGTAACAGACAGGACAAGCTTCAATCTTCTGCAGGGGTATACATAATCCTTTGTTATGACTGCAGCAAATTATACGTGGGCAAAACATCCAGAGACCTCCAAACACATATTTCAGAACACCAGTACGCAGGCAGATTGGACGATTTAATGAATGCCTGTGTTCAGCACCAAAATTCACACAACCATAAACACAAGACTTATCGCCAGAGAAGAAAACAATACTGCAGAATCCTGGAATCATCACTTACCTGTATATCCAACAACTTCAACCAAAACAATGGCTTCTATATTATTATTATTATTATAATCAAAAAGAAGCGCTAAGCCACAAGGGCTATACAGCAATGGCTTCTATAACACAGGTGAACCCCTTGCCAAGACACTTCTTCGTTATCCCACATAATTACATACGCACCAGCCAGTCCCATGCAGGTCCTTATCAGACCCACCCTACCCAGCATTCTCCACCTGACTCATTTCTATAAATACCCATGTACCTTTCGCCCAGGTAGATCTGTTTGTGACCTGATAAAGTCCACTATGTGGGCGAAACATTGTCAATAAAGGATCACATTATACTGCTTATGTGTTTATTTTTCCATTGTGTCAGTATTTTATACCATTTATTTCCATCCTCTAGCTACTTTCACAAATAATGGAACATGTATTTTGCTTAAGAAAATACTCAATTTATTAGGTTTTTAAGAACAAAAACATCGAAAGGGTAAAAATTAAGTGTTAGGATTTTAGTTAGGATTGAGGGTGGTAGTGATATTAACATTGAGAATTGCATTGGGTATGGTAGTCACTAAAGCATTGGGGATTGAAGTATTTCATTTAAGGAAGGGGGAGGAGCATTAAACTCACAAGGGTCAAACAATGCCTGATGGACTGGGGAAGGGGGGTAATCAGGTTTAATCCAAGGTATGCGAGATCAGGTTCAGTTTTTGGATCAAGAGATCCCTTACTGGGAGAAGCAACAAGCTGGCAGGAACAATATCAGTGAGGATAATAGTGACCTAGTGACTGGGGATGACAGTGACCTTGTGACTGGGGATGACAGTGACCTTGTGACTGGGGATGACAGTGACCTTGTGACTGGGGATGACAAGTGACCTTGTGACTGGGGATGACAAGTGACCTTGTGACTGGGGATGACAAGTGACCTTGTGACTGGGGATGACAAGTGACCTTGTGACTGGGGATGACAAGTGACCTTGTGACTGGGGATGACAAGTGACCTTGTGACTGGGGATGACAGTGACCCTGTGACTGGGGATGTCAGTGACCTAGGGGTTTTGTGTTTACCGTGTGCAGTTCAGGACTTATGTTGCCATACTCGTCGTAAGAAAACATCAGTTTCAGTCGATGTGCACCGGTTTCCTGCTCCTGTAGCTGACTGGCCTTCCTGAAGTCCTGGTCAATGGCGTCAGGGTTGTGGAATGCACTCATTAGATTGAGCCCCAGGAGTACTCCACTAGAGTCACGCCATAACGTCTTTTTCCGCAAACTGGAGAAAGTCGAGAAGAACCTGGAGTAGTATCCACTGCCGTTCGCCATTGTTATTGTTTTGTGACTGCCAGCTGTAGGGAAGGGCGCGTTTTCGCTTGCGTGAAATTATTCTAATTTTTCATCATCTCTTAAATATGATAATTAATGCAAGAAGAAATGTTAAATATTCAGATAAAGACCTCCCAGGTACTCTGGTTTAGTATACTATAGATGCTTTCATATTGAGTCTTGTGCTGATTGGAATGCATACGAACCGAATAGAAAACGTTGTTATAGTTGAGGGTAGACTTATCCAGTTGAGGACCCCTCCTTATAATGGAGAGATTTTAATATTGGCTTACTGTTTTTATTTTTATAACGAAATGTATATATTCCTCCTCTTGGCGAGGAAGGGCAATCTGCAGAAACATTGCATCCTTGAATCACAGTTTACGACACAGTAGGCCATATGGCCTGGTGGCTAAAGCTCCCGCTTCACACACGGAGGGCCCGGGTTCGATTCCCGGCGGGTGGAAACATTTCGACACGTTTCCTTACACCTGTTGTCCTGTTCACCTAGCAGCAAATAGGTACCTGGGTGTTAGTCGACTGGTGTGGGTCGCATCCTGGGGGACAAGATTGAGAACCCCAATGGAAATAAGTTAGACAGTCCTCGATGACGCACTGACTTTCTTGGGTTATCCTGGGTGGCTAACCCTCCGGGGTTAAAAATCCGAACGAAATCTTATCTTATCTTATCTCATGAATGCTCTCTTAGGTTATTACTACAACGCCACACTTCGCAAGCAGGTGATGCATGCTCAAACACCTGACATCACCAGACCTGATATAACCTAGCTCATTTGACTTTCTTCCTGTATACAGTATATCTTGTGTTTCCTTGTCTGTAATGCACTGAAAAAGCCTCCAGTAGGTGAAACTTCTAATTGTCTTAACTGTTGTATTCGTGGCTTGATTCCTCAGATTGTCGGTATTAATATACCTGCACTTGTACCAGCTTTAAGGAAATATACCCAGGTTTACTTTTTTCTTCAGATGTAAGCCGAGGACGCTACCGCTTGAGGCACAAGCCCTAAAGTAATTGCTGTTATTGTATAATATATAATTACTTTTATTGTATATTATATCACAGATTTTGCGTAGCTGAACCAATAAATATGTATAACATTCGTCAGGTAATACTGTATCTTCAAAAGTATTTTGGTGCAGTATTAGAGTTGAGGTCTTTATTTAGGAAAGCCGTACAGTATACAGAGGTACAGCAATCACACTACATGGAATAAGTAATTAATTTGTATATTTCTACTTTAATAATTGCCACTTGCGTGCAGTTATAGATTATACAAAGTGTCAGTTTGTGATGATTTTATGTAAGTTATCCCTACAGTAACTTAAAGCCATTGGGATTTCATCCACACACACACACACACACACACACACACACACACACACACACACACACACACACACACACACACACACACACACACACACACACACACACACACACACACACACACACTTGTCACCGCACCATTGAGCGCAAGTTTCATTCGCCTATTTGTGGTTTGCATGTTGAAGGCCCTGGCTGGCCTTGCATACTGTTTGATACTGGTCACTCACTCCTGCAAGCTATTACCAGAATTAGAATAGAAATAGTATAGACATAGTGAATATAGTGTTGACGAGTGTGAGAAGGTAGAGTCCAGCGAGGAGTAGAGTAGTATTAATTCCAGTAGTTATTAGCAGTAAGAATACTTAGGAAGCTAGGAAGTTCTCTCCCAATGTGAACATGGAACAGGATAATAACCAGCAATAATTGATACTTAAATCCAGACACACACACACACACACACAAGGCGAGTATTACTATAAGCTAGGCGGCGGGACAAACTTTTAAGGGCAACATTGTAAGACGGTGCGAGGGTCAAGTCCCAGGAGGGTTGTGTCAGGTCACAAGAAGTTGCAGCCAGTCATTACACCGCACAAGACACACACACACAACACACACAAAACACACACAAACACACAACCACACACACACACACACACAACACACACAACACACACACACAACACACACACACACAACACCACACACACACACACACACACAACAACACACACACACACACACACACACACACAACACACACACACAACACCACACACAACACACCCCACACAACACCCACACACAACACACACAACAACACACACACAAAAACACACACACACAACACAAAACACACACACACAACACACACACCAACACACACAAAACAACCACAACACACAACACACACACACAACACACACACACACACACACACAACACACCACACAAACACACAAACACAAACACACACACACACACACACACACAACACACACACACAACACACACACACAACACACACACACAACACACACACACAACACACACACACAACACACCACACAACAACACACAACACCAAAACAACACACACACAACACACACACACACACACACACACACACAACACAACACAACACACACACACAACACACACACACAACACAAAACACACAACACACACACACAACACACACCACCCCAACACACACACACACAACACACACACAACACACACAACCAACACACACACAACACACACACACAACACAACACACAACACAACACAACACACACACACACAACACACAACACACACACACACACACAACACACACAACACACACACACACACACACACACACACAACACACAACACACAACACACACACAACCACACACACCACACAACAACACACACACACACACACACCACAACACACACACACACACACACAACAACACACACACACACACAACACACACACAACAACACACACACAACACACACACACACACACAACACACACACAACACACACACAACACACAACAACACACACACAACCACACAACACACACACAACAACACACACAACAACACACACACAACACACACACACACACACACACACACACACACACACACACACACACACACACAACACACACAACATAGACATTGAGGACATCACTTACGAGAGGCCCCTTGAGCTAGCGATCACGTAGGTTCTGAGTTTTGATTATATAGTAGGTTACAAGGGAGAAGGTAACAGGAACTGAAGGGACAGGCCAAACTATAAAAGGGGGACTACACAGGTATGAGAAACTTCCTGCAGGAGGTTCAGTGGGACAGAGAAATGGTAGGAAAATCATAAACGAGATGATGGAATATGTTGGCAACAAAGTGCAAGGAGGCAGAGGAAAGTTTTGTTCCCAAGGCAACAGAAATAATAGGAAGACCAAAACGAGTCCTTGGTTTACCCGAAGGTGTAGGGAGGCAAAAACTAAGTGCAACAGAGAATGGAAAAGGTACAGGAGGCATAGGACCCAGGAAAACAAGGAGATTAGTAGAAGAGCCAGAAACTAGTATGCACAGATAAGGAGGGAGGCCCAGCGACAGTATGAAAACGACATAGCATCGAAAGTCAAATCTGACCCGAAACTGCTGTATAGCCACATTAGGAGGAAGACAACAGTCAAGGACCAGGTGATAAGGCTAAGGAAAGAAGGTGGAGAACTCACAAGAAACGATCAAGAGGTATGTGAGGAGCTCAACACGAGATTTAAGGAAGTATTTACAGTAGAGACAGGAAGGACTCTGGGGGGACAGACCAGAGGGGGACACCAGCAAGGAATACACCAACAAGTGTTGGACGACATACATACAGATGAAGAGGAGGTGAAGAAACTGCATAAGGGACATCAATACCTCAAAGGCAATGGGACCGGACAACATCTCCCCGTGGGTCCTTAGAGAGGGAGCAGATATGTTGTGCGTGCCACTAACCACAATCTTCAACACGTCCCTGGAAACTGGGCAACTACCTGAGGTATGGAAGATGGCAAATGTAGTTCCAATTTTTAAAAAAGGAGACAGAAAAGAGGCACTAAACTATAGACCTGTGTCATTGACGTGTATAGTATGCAAAATTATGGAGAAGATTATCAGGAGGAGAGTGGTGGAGCACCTGGAACGGAACAAGAGTATAAATGCCAACCAGCACGGATTCACGGAAGGCAAATCCTGTGTCACAAACCTTCTGGAGTTTTATGATAAAATAACAGAAGTAAGACACGAGAGAGAGGGGTGGGTTGATTGCATCTTCTTGGACTGCAAGAAGGCCTTTGACACAGTTCCTCACAAGAGATTAGTGCAGAAGCTAGAGCATCAAGCGCATATAACAGGAAGGGCACTGCAATGGATCAGAGAATACCTGACAGGGAGGCAACAACGAGTCATGGTACGTAATGATGTATCACAGTGGGCACCTGTGACGAGCGGGGTCCCACAGGGGTCGGTCCTAGGACCAGTGCTATTTTTGGTATATGTGAACGACATGATGGAAGGGTTAGACTCAGAAGTGTCCCTGTTTGCAGATGATGTGAAGTTAATGAGGAGAATTAAATCTGATGAGGACCAGGCAGGACTTCAGAGAGACCTGGACAGACTGGACACCTGGTCCAGCAAATGGCTTCTCGAATTTAATCCTGCCAAATGCAAAGTCATGAAGATAGGGGAAGGGCACAGAAGACCACAGACAGAGTATAGGCTAGGTGGCCAAAGACTGCAAACCTCACTCAAGGAGAAAGATCTTGGGGTGAGTATAACACCAAGCATGTCTCCGGAAGCACACATCAATCAGATAACTGCTGCAGCATATGGGCGCCTGGCAAACCTGAGAACAGCATTCCGATACCTTAGTAAGGAATCGTTCAAGACACTGTACACCGTGTATGTCAGGCCCATACTGGAGTATGCAGCACCTGTTTGGAACCCGCACTTGATAAAGCACGTCAAGAAACTAGAGAAAGTACAAAGGTTTGCCACAAGGTTAGTTCCAGAGCTAAGGGGAATGTCCTATGAAGAAAGATTAAGGGAAATCAGCCTGACGACACTGGAGGACAGGAGGGTCAGGGGAGACATGATAACGACATATAAAATACTGCATGGAATAGACAAGGTGGACAAAGACAGGATGTTCCAGGGAGGGGACACAGAAACAAGAGGCCACAATTGGAAGTTGAAGACACAAATGAGTCAGAGAGATATTAGGAAGTATTTCTTCAGTCATAGAGTTGTAAGGCAGTGGAATAGCCTAGAAAATGACGTAGTGGAGGCAGGAACCATACACAGTTTTAAGACGAGGTTTGATAAAGCTCATGGAGCGGGGAGAGAGAGGGCCCAGTAGCAACCGGTGAAGAGGCGGGGCCAGGAGCTAAGACTCGACCCCTGCAACCACAAATAGGTGAGTACACACACACACACAGCAGAGGCCAGGATACAGAGTTTAGAAGAGGAACTGAAAAATCTGAAACAGCCTAGAGAACTAAACATTTTGGGATTGACAACAGAGACTGCTACCTCAGCCACAAATAAGGGGACTGTAGGGAAAGAAGGAGCAAAACTGCATGTAGAAGCTCAATCAGTGGAGACTGTAGTAAATGAAAGAGCTAAGCTATATGTGGAGGCCCTAACAGACCACAGCAGAGCCCAGGGAAAGCCGAGAAGGGAAAATGACAGGCCACTGAGCCCAAGTACATTAGCTAGTGAAACTGAAAAAAAGGAAAGCTGCAATGGAGGAAATCAAATTGAATGAGGGGATACACAGGGATATGCAGTGGGAGAATGAAAGGGTGAGGTCAGTCTTTGTGTATGGGCTACAGGAAGCTGAAGGGGAAACATATGAAGCAAGAAAACAAGGGAAAAAAAGCAATTGAAAGCATCATGAAAGCAATAGGAGAAGACGACATGACCCAGCTGGAAAATTTTCGGAGAATAGGGGGGTTTGTAAAAAAAAGAACCCGGCCAGTGAAAGTGACCTTCAAGGCAGATTCAACTCGGAACAGGATCCTGCAGGAGAAACACGATTAAGGGACATGCCGGCATACAGGAAGGTGTATCTCGACCGCGACAGAACACAAGCAGAAAGGCAGAAACAAAGAGAGATGGTACAAAGGCGAAAGGAGGAAAGAGAGGGGATGGAGAAGACAGACAGGAGATCCCAGACACAGCAAGATCAAATACAGCCTCCCTCACAACTTCCTATAGAAGCCTCCCAACCAGGTCAACCCCAGTGCAACCAAACACTAAACCAAAACACCCATGCCACATCCAATGCCCCCACCCACTGCATTACAAACTCCACCCCCGCAGCAACCACCCATAGTTCCTTATCAGGTCTCCCACTTCCCCAACCCCAGTTCCTTATCAGGTCTCCCACTTCCCCAACCCCAATACACCTTCCAGACCACAATCTTAGAAAAGAAGTTGAAGGTGTGGTATACAAATGCAGATGGAATAACAAATAAGTATGAGGAGTGGCACGAAAGAATCAAGGAGACATCCCCAGACATAATAGCACTCACAGAAACAAAACTCACCAGAATAATAACAGATTCAATCTTTCCATCCGGATATCAAATCCTCAGGAAAGACAGAGGGAGGATCATCAGGAGGAGAGTGGTGGAGCACATGGAAAGAAACAAGTGTATAATTGACAACCAGCACGGTTTCAGGGAGGGAAAATCCTGTGTCACAAACCTACTAGAGTTTTATGACAAGGTGACAGAAGTAAGACAAGAGAGAGAGGGGTGGATCGACTGCATTTTTTTGGACTGCAAGAAGGCCTTCGACACAGTTCCTCTCAAGAGGTTACTGCAAAAGCTAGAGGATCAGGCACACATAACAGGAAAGGCACTGCAATGGATCAGAGAATACCTGACAGGGAGGCAACAACGAGTCATGGTACGTGACGAGGTGTCAGAGTGGGTGCCTGTGACAAGCGGGGTTCCACAGGGGTCAGTCCTAGGACCTGTGCTGTTCTTGGTATATGTGAATGACATAACGGAAGGGATAGACTCAGAAGTGTCCTTGTTTGCGGATGATGTGAAGTTAATGAGAAGAATCAAATCAGATAAGGATCAGGCAGGACTACAAAGAGACCTGGACAGGCTACAAGCCTGGTCCAGCAACTGGCTCCTTGAGTTTAACCCTGCCAAATGCAAAGTCATGAAGATTGGGGAAGGGCAAAGAAGACCGCAGACACAATATAGTTTAGATGGCCAAAGTCTGCAAACCTCACTCAAGGAAAAAGATCTGGGGGTGAGTATAACACCGAGCATATCTCCTGAGGCGCACATCAATCAGATAACTGCTGCAGCATACGGGCGCCTGGCAAACCTACGGATAGCGTTCCGATACCTCAGTAAGAATTCGTTCAAGACTCTGTATACCATTTACGTCAGGCCCATACTGGAGTATGCAGCACCAGTTTGGAATCCACACCTAGTCAAGCACGTCAAGAAATTAGAGAAAGTGCAAAGGTTTGCAACAAGAGTAGTCCCAGAGCTACGGGGATTGTCCTATGAAGAAAGGTTGAGGGAAATCGGCCTTACGACACTGGAGGCCAGGAGGGTCAGGGGAGACATGATAACGACATATAAAATACTGCACGGAGTAGACGAGGTGGACAAAGACAGGATGTTCCAGAGATGGGACACAGACACAAGAGGTCACAATTGGAATTTGAGGACTCAGATGAATCAAAGGGATGTTAGGAAGTATTTCTTCAGTCATAGAGTAGTCAAGCCATGGAATAATTGCCTAGAAAGTGACATAGTGGAGGCGGGAACCATACGTAGTTTTAAGGCGAGGTATGATAAAGCTCATGGAGCAGGGAGAGAGAGGACCTAGTAGCAATCAGTGAAGAGGTGGGGCCAGGAGCTATGATTCGACCCCTGCAAACACAAATAGGTGAGTACTTGCATGTCAGTCTTACCGTTCACATGAGTTGCCTTGAGGCTGGTGAAGGGCTCTTGATTAAAGTTTGAGCTACCCTCCCCTTTCTCGGATCAAACCTCATTGTGGAAAATTTTGAATTTTCCTAAATTGAGCATGTTTAAATTTGAAAAATATGCGTATTAAATGTGATGCTGTTTGGACCCCTTGAGATATTTCGAGTGAGGAGCGGATGTGGAACAGCCGGGGAGTGACGCCAAGGGGGACGCCATTTGTAATTTGTGAGCACTGGTTGTCGCAGAAAATTCAGCTAATAATTCCACGTCTTCCGAGCCAAATTGGGGGTTTCGGCCTGAATTTGTAATAGGAACCCATGTTAATGTCCCCTGCTGAAGAGTTGGGACAGGAAATTTGCAGGACCTCAAGAATTACGAGTGTATGGCGGAAGGGATACGAACATCACTCACAGGGAAGTGTGCCATTAGTCCTTGCATTTAGATCTCTAGCTGGTCAGTGTAGGATCTAGGTGTCAGGCCGGTATTGTGGTGTGATCCATCTACAGTAATTAAATGGTGACTGGTATTACGAATTTCTTGTGTACCCAGCAAGCTAATCATATACAGTCTACAATTTTAATTTACCAGAGTAACTGGTTTTAATATTGTAAATACTAATTTAATGTCAGGTCTAGCTTTTTGTGAGATTGGCGAAAGTGGGCATCGAGGGAGTTAGTCCTGTGACTTACTATGACTTAAGTCCCACTTATCTCACCCAAATTACTTGCACGTAGTAATTCAGGTAAACCTCATGTGGGTAATTTACTCACATAATTCAATCATTATCTTCCATTCATAAGGATCTGTGTGGCCCTTATGGGTTTGGTGCATATAATAATTAAAGATAGTCCTTTTTACAAATCCACAAGTCACTAAATAAAAAGTGTAGGTGCAGCTACTGTAATAATACACGCTTTCCATGAAGGAAATAGCACACATTGTCTATTCTGTTTCAATAAAGGGAATAGATCACATCGTCTGTTCTGTTTACGTGAAGGTGACAGAGAAACTTAACCTAGCCTTGTAACATTTGTATACCATGGAAAATAAAACATCTGTTTATTATTAGATTATATTAAAAATATTACAAAATTCTGTTTGGAGTCATTGCTTCGTGTACGACACAACTCTACCAGCTGCTAGATACCTGTGTACTGCTAGAGGAAGAGGGACACTATATGTAAAATATAACATGCGGGTACAAACATTGACAATTGACCAGTCAAATTTTCTTTATTTTTTATTTATTTATTTTTTTTTTTTTTGAGCAGCGGATAACTCCCTGTCTGTCTTTTCAATTAATGACAGTTTGCTTTTATTTATGTACGATTTTCACTTCATTTTTTAACTGTTTAAAAACTAAATTTTAAGTCTGCTGTTTTACTCAGAAAACTACTGTAAATAAAGTAGGATTTGGATCACATGGAGGTTAAATTGCAGAAAGTTGCAATAGTAATATCCACAAAACAATTTTGAATAGAAATTAACCCCTCGACTTAACGGACGTTGATGTAACGACTCGAGAAAGACCGAGAAACTCCACTAAATGAATTCAGAAACCAAGGACCAAGTCCCTTGGTTACATAATTGTCCTCCCTTGGATACAACCTTATAGTCTTCCATTTCTTCAGGTGTTGTACGACCCTTACATGTAGGTTTAGTGCTCTCCCATTAATATAATCTATGTAATGTGTATAAATGATAACGTAATTAGCATGTTCAGAGTGAGCTGCCTTGAGGTATCACGTATATAAATTGATCACGATTAATTACTTGCTATAATAGATCTTTTATGAGTAACTGAGGAAGTTAATACAAATATTGAATTGTAGCTTTACTAAATGAAACTTTATTGACTCCGATTTATTGGTATTGCAGGAGGCCCTTTATCACGAATTAATAAAAACACCTTCATATACAAATCACTGATTATATTTATAATAGTGCCAAGGAGAATAAAAGGAAAAAATGTATAATAAATGAGATATACATGCCATACATTAGATAAACACATGATAAATTGTCCATAATGAGTGAACGCGAGGATGAAATTTGGGAAGTGAAGATGAAGTAGCGAGTTTCAAGTCTGAGCCTGGAAATAATGGTAGGTGTAAGTCATATACCGTATAATGATACTGCTAAGTTAGCTTGAATGAGTACCTGCGCTGGCGCCTAACAAAGTTTGTGCGTCACTGACGCCAGGAAGCTGAATTACTTTGATGGATAATACTGGTGTGGTCGGGGTGCAGGAAGGCGTAATAACCGATGACACTGCACACTCCTATCACCCACAGAACCTCCACGGTAAATACTATTACCACTCGAATTGATTCAGGATAGACCACCATCTGTGGGATGGAAAATCACGTACAGTAAAATAACAGCATCAATTAAGTCTTTGGTGTTAGTAACTAGCAGCACATAATTATAATATAATTATATGCGGTCTTTATGACAGCACTGCTCGTTCACGCTAATCTAAGTCATTTTCCTAAGAAAAAAAATGCAGACTGCCTCACCCTTCATTGGAACCACAAAGTTCTTGGTAAATGTGACACTTGTGCAACATTTGGGTATCTTTATTCTGGAAGCGTTTCGCCAGCCAGTGGCTTCTTCAGTCCAGTGCAGAGAAAAGTGGAGGAGATTGAGGTAATCAGTCCCTCAGTCTGGAGTCTGAGTTCAGTCCGTTAAGCTTGATTAAAGGCCTGAAGATTTCGACTCCAGGTTGAGGGACTGATTACCTCTAATTCCTCCTCATCTTTCACCCTTCTCTGCATTGGACTGAAGAAACCACTGGCTGGCGAAATTTCTCCCAGAGTACAGATACCCAAATGTTGCACAAGTGTCTCATTTATTAACTTGTCAGTTTTCTAAATTCAGAAAATTCTTGAATATGACCAAGAACAACCTTACGTTTTTCCAGGATGGCAGTACACTGCGGTATATATCTAATTTAAGAGACGCCTTAGTTTCCCGGTCTCCTAACATCATGTTTATTTTTACCCCTTTAATCTACCTTGTCCATAATTATTATCGCATTTGCTTTGTCTACTTTTGTAAGGTGAAGCCCACGATCTTTCCTTAAATCATGGTATAATTTAACAAATCTTTGAGGACGATTGTGTTGCAGAGGTGTGAGCCAAGTTCAGACCTCTGATCTTACGAAAGCAGACAAAGCAAAGGCGATAGTTATTATGGACAAAGTAGATTACAGGCGAAAAATAATATATTATTAAAAGACAGAGGAACTGACGTGTCCCTTAAGTTTGTTGTAATGGGAGTGTATGGGAAAGTGATGTATTAAATAAACAGCTTTGCTCTCTCTCTCTCTCTCTCTCTCTCTCTCTCTCTCTCTCTTATTCTATATATATATATATATATATATATATATATATATATATATATATATATATATATATATATATATATATATATATATATATATAGTATATATATAATGACTGTGGTATCGAATACTGTACTTACATTACGATGATTAAGCCACGTGTACTACAGTTAAGTATTTTTAGTGTTGAAACGTTAGGCCTACACAGTCAAGTACTGAGGCAGCAGGTGTGTAGCAGTGAAATAAAGGTGTAATTAGTTCGTCAACCTTGTAGAAATAGTATCTGAGATGATCAGTCCCTCAGCCTGGAACAATATCGTTCCAGACTATGAAGCTGAACTCTTCTCCAGGCTGAGGGACTGACCACCTCGAATACTATTTATAAAAGGTTGATTGACTAATTACATTATCATTTCACTACTACTACACCTGCTAACTCTGTATTTGACTGAAGAAGCCTACTGTGTAGGCGAAACGTTTCAACAAAGATACCCAACCGCTGCACGTGTCTTATCAACTTGTCGGTATTTTATATACCATTTCCAACATAACTTTATAATATACCGTTATTTTTTAATTAGCTTCGGGATATGTTGTGGAAATTTTCAAAACTGGGTGTAGATACGTGCTTCAAGTTAGTACTGACCTGTACATACCAGATGGCGATCATGGCGGAATTCTCAATAAGACAGAAGGCGTAGAAGAATACCATTCGTTTGCGGGATGGTGTGTCCTTGACATTAATGTAACAGAACACATGAACAAACCCGATGACACAGTTGTACAAGAATTCCAACACTGGGTGGGTGCTGTTGTCTCCCTGCGCACAGAATGTTGTTTTCTGCAAGGTAAAACATTAGTTGTTCTTAGTTAAACCATGGAACGGCCGGGGATTAAACCCATGGCAGATGAGTCTTGTTCTTACCTTCTGGTTCATCTAACACAAGTTAATTGGGATTCCATAATGTCTTTACTACTTTTGTTTATTTCAATGAGATTATTATTATTATTATTATTATTATTATTATTATTATTATTATGTCTCACGATGGAGGATATTTGTATTGTGATGTCTGTGCACGTCTGGCTATATATTAAGCAAATTTCTTAAATTTACTTGTAACAGATAAGTGAACGGTAGATATAAATCCAGATGTACTGTAAACCCTTCTGAGGCCTAGTTCCTAGGCCTTTTGTGTATCCATATGTCTGCTATCTTATTTTCTTTATATCTTGAACTATCGGATAGGTTATTGTACTTCCTATCTCTGTATTTGTTAATCAGTGTTCAAGAAAGTGACCATAAGGCTGACCACATACTTTGGATTTAGCCTGATCACTTGTGCATCTACTAAAGTACCAGAGGTCGGTGTCACAAAGACTAAGCCGGCTACTACATCAGTTTGTTCACATTACAAGTTGCTCCATAAACGTAGTTACCTCGTATTGTAGATGAATGGTTCAGAGAACCGACACGTTGATAAATTAGACATATGTGCAACTCTTGGGTATCTTTATTGAGGAAACGTTTCGCCACACAGTGGCTTCATCAGTCCATACAAAGGAGAATCGTGAAGAGCAGGATGAGAATGAGGTTGAGGGACTGATTACCTCATTCTCCTCCTGCTCTTCACGATTCTCCTTTGTATGGACTGATGAAGCCACTGTGTGGCGAAACTTTTCCTCAGTAAAGATACCCAAGAGTTGCACATGTGTCTAATTTGTAGTTACGTAGGTTTATCACTGAGTGATCTATTCAGGCTTTTAACTACATTCTTATGAGATCCAGTTTCATTATTTGCTTCTTTCCTAATATTATTCATCATGCTAGACACAGATATATTTAAGTTATATTCTACATTTTCGTTCAGGGCAATTTCTTTGGCTAACTTATCAACTTTAATCACGAAGGGGTATTTCAGTGTGTGATGGAATTCATAAAAATTGTACATTAATTCCTCCATCTCTGATTTTCGAGCATCTGTCTGGCATCTCCAATAAGTGTTAGTAATTTAAAGGTGAATAAGTGCATTTATCTTCGTTGATATTGCAATGGCATTTAAACCTACACAGCACGAAAATTGTAAACAGTGCTTTTGTCAGATTGCATGGTAAAATAGTATGGCTTATGGTATGCAGTGAACATTGTTACATACCTGTGCGTATATCCAGGCAGTCATTATAAGCCAGTGAGCCGCCAACACACACACAGTGACAATGGGATACGCTATGACTATGTTTCCCTGGGAGTCAGTCCAACGTAGTAAGTACACAGATCTTGGGTCCTGATTTGGATGCTGAAATATAAAGTAAATAATGTTTTCTTTTATTTACACCATTTACAGGTAAGAGTTATTATAGCTCAGCCCACTTCTCAGACACTACATGGTCCGTGGGGATCATGCAGTGTCTGGAGAGTAGGACATCAGGGTTAATGTGGGGAAAGGTGGGAGTTGCTTCAACTCATTTGATCAAGAACCCCTCGCTGGCATCAAGTCACTTCTGAGTGGATGTCATTTCAAAGCCCAGCCTTATTTAAGGTATACTATCAACCTCAGTGTTGTAACCCACAACAGTATACCAACACCAAGGTGCGTATTTACTAGTTGAACAAGAGTAACTAGTGTAAACAAAAATGGCTCCCTTATTTTCGCCCACCCCAAGATTAAATATGGGTCCTACTGTTATGAGCCGAAGATTCTGCCATTGAGCTATGGGCCACCTTAAGAGGCGATATTACTATCATTTATTGTTAAGCAAACACTGCATTTGTGCTCTTAACACTTGATCATAACTTTGATAATGTTACATGTGATACAACCCTTCAAGGAGGGGTATGCCTTCATGCTGCTGAAAAGCTCTTCATCCAAAGAATCAGAGCTACTGGAGTAGAAAAACTATGAACTCATCAAAGGCACTCGTCTCTTCTTAGATCACATCTGATTACCTTCCATTCCTCAGGCGCTGTATGATCCCTACGTTTTTAGTGATCCTATGCGATAAAGGTACAATACAGTATAACACTTCAAAGTGTTGACGATCTCACTTACGAGTATTGCGGAGAACGACCCGATTGTGATTATTCTGGAGGCGAGCATAGATGCCCGCCACAAGAGGCAGGTGGTGGTGGCACAACAAGACAGTTGTTGTTTATCTGGCACTGAACGACGTAGTTCATCCTGGTACGACACTAACGACCAAGACATGGCGAATACACCCAGCAGGATTTTCCATATCTGTACTGTTGTTGCTGACGAAGAAAATGAACTCTTAGTTTTAATGTTATTTATATTTCAAATTCAATTTCGTTTTATTAATTATGTATATATAGTGATAATTACATTCTGTTGTGAACCATTTTCATGAGGTGATCAAAGGTTACTGAACACTGTCTTAAAATAGTTACTGTTGACTGACTTAGAACAGTCGCATCTTCTTTGCCAGTGATAATTCCAGGACTACGGTACAACAGGAAAATCTGAAATATGAGTTGTGGTGCATCTTGCAGGAAACTGTGCATCATATCCAACATGGCGGTGTCTCGTGAGATAATCTACACAGAAAAGAAAAAAAAAGGTTACCTTTACATTTTAATAAGTGTATGACATACTGCACATAGTGTTTATGCCAGAAACAATAAGAGTGCAGATCACTAAAAGAGTTTTGGAATGTCTTATAATTACTGTTGCCAATTATGAGTAAGTTGTTTAGAAAAAAACAACTTCTTGCTAAAAAGTACATCAGTCTAACCCCAGATCTTTAATGAGCGTGCTGCTGCCTAGTACCTCTGAGATTTCTTCCACTGTAAATACTTTTTGTTGTGGAAATGTACCGTATTCATATACCTGGAGTTTACCTGGAGAGAGTTCCGGGGGTCAACGCCCCCGCGACCCGGTCTGTGACCAGGCCTCCTGGTGGATCAGAGCCTGATCAACCAGGCTGATCAACCAAGCAGTTATTAATACTTACCATCTGTAGAACAGCATGAACTTCACCTTTAGGCGTTCTTCTTAGTACAGCAGCATGATTGTGACCCATCTCCACGTGTTTAACCTCTCTCTTCATCTTCACGCCGTATCTTATAATATCCACGTACCTGTCATTATAACACCCACACAATATAGCTTTTAGTATTAATATATCGTACACAACTCTGGGCAATCTTCGAATTCAATTTCATATTCTTATGATTTAAAATGCTGAAACAAATTATGTATAATACATCAAGTTTTGCAGTGAGATCTTAACCCATGTAGAAATATTGTAACTTAATTGAATGTTACCGAATAAGCGGTCCAAGCAGGATGATATGGAATATAACTCTGACGACAGTTTGCAGTGCGCTCATCTTGTGGAAGACACAGTAGTCGCCCAGACATTGTTTGTTTTGCCAGTACCACCACAAACTGCCAAATATGTCTGTATTAAGAGTCATGGTTTTAAAGTGAGAGTTTTAAGCTTGACAGTTTTGAGAGTACACTTACAGAACATGTATGTCTCACATATATCAGAAGATTAAGGGGGCTCGTACCTGAAGATGTTGATGACAACCATGGGCAGGACGATGATGCAGAGTGTGATGATAAACCAGGTGATTGGCTCAGTACTGAACTCATCCTCCTTGGCCTATACAAATATACTCTACCTTAGTCTCTTCTACTCGCATTACCACTTACTTTTTTTCTGTATGTGTGTGTGACCTAATTCATGTCAACATACATAACTCAACGACTGTAACCAGATATAAACATGTAAATAGTTTATTACCACTGTAATTTGTTCAGCTGTTAGAGCCTTGGGGCCCAGTCCCTGGACCCATCATGTAATATTTTGCCTATCGTCCACAGGATGGGTATTGGGCGCATAATCCAGAGATTAAACTAACACTCTTCTGCACTCAAGATTATACAAACACAACTAAAATTACTACACCTACACTATCACACTAGGTAATATACTTTCCTCCATAACTGCTCAAAACATTTGCTCTTCATGGGGGGTACGGATGTGGGGGGATGAGTTGATGCTGATGAAGGGCTCTTGATTCAGGGAACAAATCAAACCTGATTACCTTCCGTTCCCCACGCTCTGCATGAGTAAATCAATGTATAGTCGTGTATTTTATTTTTTATTTAAAAAAAAAATGATAATTACAGCCATATATAATAGTTGTTTAGCACTTACATGGGATGAAAACTAAAGAAATAAACATTGATTATCAAGTTGTAGAGATTTAGATTGCAAATTTATAGTTAACTGGTCCCTGGGTACTCGAAGATGGTCCAGGGAGGACCCATCCATCATCATGTTTATATTTCCTATCTGTGGATTAGTTGTGAATTATTCTACCCTTTAAGGGGGAGGGGGAAGTGCCTTGATTCCGGTGAAGGGCTCTTGATCCAAGGAATTGAAGCTATCTTCTACCTAGGATCAATCCTGATTACCTCCCACCACTCAGTATTTTAAGTCCCATACGATTCGAGTGCTTTTCCGCAATAAAATAATAAATTTGTGAATTGATCCAGCCACAGTATTGTTATTTTTATTCTACATTAATGTTTATTGTGCATAGAGTGCATGAATGTGGTTACCTTGAAGGTACATAGTCCCGGTTACCTTGAAGGTACATAGTCCCGGTTACCTTGAAGGTACATAGTCCCGGTTACCTTGAAGGTACATAGTCCCGGTTACCTTGAAGGTACATAGTCCCGGTTACCTTGAAGGTACATAGTCCCGGTTACCTTGAAGGTACATAGTCCCGGTTACCTTGAAGGTACATAGTCCCGGTTACCTTGAAGGTACATAGTCTCGGTTACCTTGAAGGTACATAGTCCGGTTACCTTGAAGGTACATAGTCCCGGTTACCTTGAAGGTACATAGTCCCGGTTACCTTGAAGGTACATAGTCCCAGTTACCTGTTTCCATAGTACGAATGCCAGTAGGGCATCTGAGATAATGTCCATGATGAAGAGAACGAAGTTCACCACCATACCCACAACCCCCATCAACCCAAAGGTTGCCTTGACGTGGGGCGGCGGCTCACGCAGAGGCATCTGTAACCAGACGGCAAGTAAATTATATATATACATGCATGATTTGCCATTTGTTAAATGTATAATATGTAAAGGAGGGACATGATGGACTTTGAAACCAAGACATTAAGTACATTATAAGAGATAAGCGATACCAGTTGAAACGTTTCTTATCTTTCCACGGCTACCTAGCTGCCAGACGTATCGTGACCTGCTTTTCCTAATTTGTTTGTTTTTCGTTTATAAATCTGTGATAAACCTAACTTAAGGACAACGCAGTTTTAAGGGTAAAACGTCAAAAAAGGGACGTTTTAATGTGAGCTCAGTGGATTGTCACGTGTCTGTCTAGTAAATAACAAAAAAGGCATAATACAGTACTATGACTGGAACAATACACACACACAACCCGCACATAGGAGAGAAAACAGACCGAAACATCGTGGTAAGCTGATTATATCTCTAGTATAGTTGTGTTTTGACTAGACATTGAGTGAGAGGTCAGAAGGGGGTGGGGGGAGGACTAGCAGTTTACCGTCATATTTGTAATTTGGCAGTAAACCCTTTGGAAAGAGAGACAAATGGAGTATAATGCATTATGCGATCCTTTATTAACAACGTTTATTTAACAGATAAATAACCATTTATTGAAAATTGGCTGGGAAGAGCTGGTGGTCGGTAATGGTAATTGTGATGGATAGAGATGGGATGGTGTTGATATTCTGTAACCAACGAACTTAACCGTTGTTTCTGACCGGCTGATCTTGTTCCATATTTCTGAAGTTCTTTAACCAGAGTTTACTGAAGCTTCAGTTACATGTCGCTCAAACAACAGATAAAGTCCTCTTTAAGGGGAGTCCCTTTGTGCTCGTCCAGGGCTCTTGATACGCGGGATCCTAGGATCAGACTGTTGCCTCCTAATTCTCAGGCGCTGGATAGCCCTTACGGATTTAGTGTTCCCCTATGAATATATACATTATTACATTCGAGATAGATGGAAAACAAAAACTGTATTCACATTTAAAAAAAAATCAAATTTAAATCACGATAAAAATATGACGCAGTGTTAAAATAATACCAACACAAATAAGATCATTGATATTATAACAATTCTATAAAAAAAATGTGATAATATTGATAAAGGTGATGTGATGTGTTTCTGACGTAATCATGTCACAGTAGATAGTGTGGGAATACCTACCAATTGTATAGCCTGATGACCACACCAAAGCGGAAACTGGAATTCTAATTTTGATGATTTTTTTTTATGTCAATTTTTTTTCAATTAAAATTTAAGATATATGGTTCGTATATTATATATATATATATATATATATAATATATTATATATATATATATATATATATTATATATATATATGTCGTGCCGAATAGACAGAACTTGCGATTTTGGCTTTATACAGCAACTTTCAATCTTGCCAACTTAGCAGCGAAAATTTGTATGCAATAATTTCCAAAAATTCTCGAACCTAACGAAAAAAAAATATTTCACTGTGTTTAGTTAAGTATTAATTATTTGAAACAATCTAAATATATATGTTGGGTTTAGGCTAAAATTAAATTGTTCTTGTTTATAATAAGTTGGTACGTTTTCAAGTTTCTTTTGCGCAAATTAAAATTTTTTAAATTACGTAATTAATAAGGTTGGATATGTTTAAACGTATAGGAGAAATTTTGAATAGGATTGGTTTAAATACATTCTTGCGTAATTGCAGTTTTACAAATTCGGCTGCATTCTTTATTATCATAATGACTATAATATATTTATCATATATTATATATATATATATCATATATATATTAGATAACCATATCTAATAATATATAGCAGGGGGTTCACTAACACGTTAGAGACCATACATATAGTGTCAGGGGCCCGAGACTGTTCAACTGCCTCCCAGCACATAAGGGGGATTACCAAACAGACCCCTGGCAGTCTTCAAGCTGGCCTAGACAAGCCACCTAAAGTCAATTCCTGATCAGCCGGGCTGTGGCTCGTACGTTTGGTTTGCGTGCAGCCAGCAAACAGCCTGGTTGATCAGGCTCTGATCCACCAGGAGGCCTGGTCACAGACCGGGCCGCGGGGGCGTTGACCCCCGGAACTCTCTCCAGGTTAAACTCCAGGTATTATTTATATATAAATTTTATATATATTTATATATATATATATATATATATTATATTATATTATAACTTCAGTTCCGTTATTTATATACAAATGAGTAAAATTTGAAATACGTCAAAGCCTTAAGCAGCTCTGAAACACATCATAATATGCAGTTAAAACAAGTTTTCTCAAGAATTATATACAGTGTAAATACCAACTATCGGTAAGTCTAAAAAAAAAAATTAGATATCTAGATTATTATATTTATGGCACGTTCTGAAAATTGTTTTGTATATTGTCGATTTTTTTTAATGCTCGCTTTAAATGACATTACGAGCTTTGTGACATGTGACCAAATAAAATGACGGTAGTGTTGTGAGGGTTGGGGAGTGATGGGTAGGAGGGGGATGTGGTGTGGAATGGATGGGGTCTGTCCCTCCACCTGGGTATGATGTCAGCATAACTGACAGGACTTTGTGCGTTCTTGTTTGTCAACAAGGCAGCCTTGAAAGATATTTTGTCACTAGTAGTGTGTGGATACCTGTTATCCAACACTGGTACCGAAGCCATATCCTGAGCAAGATTCTAGCGGGCTTTCATATACATTATTCTGGCTAGGATATGATTTCCAGCATGACCAACGTCTTGCATGTTGGTATCCTGCCCGGGAGTGAGAGTAATGGAGGGAAAGGAATGCTTTCGTTAATGGGAGGGGTAAGAGAAAGGGGTGGCTTCGTTAACGGAAGTGAAAGATTAGGTAAAGAAAGGGGGTGTTTTTATTAACGGCAGTAAGGGGGAGGGTAAGGTGGCAGAGGGGCGGACATGTCAAAGAACATTCTATGTTCCACAAAGCAACATTGTATAATGTACGAGTGATCGAGATATACACCTGGCTCAACGCAAATAAGTTACACTGGCTGTCATGGGTTACTTGGATTTTTATCCCACCAGGGTTAATACTCCCAAGGATTTTTTTTTTTTGATATAGTGGAGGATGATTTCATACACTGAACTGTAGAACACGTTAACTGACTAAAAGGCAAGAGGCGGGTCCAGGAGCTGTAACTCAACACCCACTAACTCATGTTGGGACTAGGTTAGTGGACACGTGGAGCGGTGGTGATGTATCGGATATCCGCATCCGCGGAACTACTGCACAATCTCTTACATCCGCATCCACAAAATAAGTAGGACATCTTCATACACATCCTCGGATATCTAAATTTTCACATCCGATACATCTCTACATATAGTTGGCTACTGTTCCCCCACAAGGAACTCATGAAAGTGGAATGTAGCTTTCAGTAAGGTATCCAAGACATTTTTGTGTATGTGCAGTTACGTAACTGATTGTCGGTATTGTTTATACCCTTCATTCTCCGAGACAGGGTTATCAGGGGAAGTACATTGTATAAAGAAGTCTGGGAGGAGAATACCATGGCTGAAACACCACAAATAACCACACCATAAAGAAGCTGTAGACGACGTATCGGTCCGTCTTGGACCGTTACCAAGTTGCAAAAGGATGGACCGAAACATACGCAGTTTGCTCCTCAAAGTTTGTATTATTTGTGAAGTTTCTGAGAAACAAACAGGCAGAGTCGTAGTAAGAGACATCGGGCACCTTCAAGGAGTGTGCCCTGATGCTGGCTTAGGGCTTTTGATCAAAGATCAAGATCCTAACATCAGTGGTGTGTATGTCGACAAGTTAAAGAATTAGACACAGGTGCAACAGCTCGGTATCTTTACGTTGAAGTTTCGTTATCCATTGGCCTTATCAGTACAATACAGGGGCAAAAAAGACTGAAGAGAAGGTGAGGTAATCAATGTCTCTCAGCCTAGCAGCAAATGTTCACTACCGCAGTCTTTTTGCCCATGTGTCTAATTCTTCATTATGATCCTGAGATCAGACTTGATTACCTTGACTGGCGAAGGGCTCTTGATCCCTTCCGTAGACTGGACGTCTATTACCTCTTGTCCCTGGCGCTTGTATGACTTGTACAGGGTTAGCTCTTTCTCGCGAATAAAATAAGAGAACACAGGCACACTGCATTATCACAGGTCACATGTTTTCATTTGTCAAGTGTCACGGACCAGGGCAAAAGATGTCGGGGTGTTAGATCACGGTATGGGGTCACAATTTCACCAGTAGCAAAGATACAATAGCCTTGTAGTGGTGAACTCAGTGTCCAGGGGTTAGGGTAGACGGTAGTTGTTGTACTTTGCTAATTTGTCCCTTGTCCTACATTGATCCTTGCGTTGGTTTTCTTCCAAGAGACGTAATAGTTTTTGTTAGTTTTGGTGTTAACAGAAAGGTCACTGGGGCGCACACTATTGAGAGCTGGTGAAGACCTGCTCTTCCAGTTGTTCTGGTACTAGTCAACTTGTTTGTAATCAAGGCTCTCACAGGCAATATACACAGCGATATGCTTAATTTTTAGTGTACAGAGAATACGAAGTTTCTTAGTGTATATACACCAAGAGGTTTATTTAATTGTATACAGCGAGGTCTATATTTTTTTCAGTGTAAATGTAAACACTTGAGAATTTACTTTAGAAACTATTTCAGGGATTAAATTGCTCTTGAGAATTTACTTTAGAAACTATTTCAGGGATTAAATTGCTCTTGATTATTAGTTTATATGTGAACTGCGTTTTTAATAACCGTATAGTCAGTAGGCTTTAAACCTGACACAATAACTTGATGTGCCATCTTTTGTCTCAACACCAAGACAAACCCTCACCTAAACATGTAATCACCATCACCAGTAACAAACCCTTTTGATAACACAAGATAAACACCGCACTGATACGTGTAATCACTATAGTGTTCGACTCTTGTAATCACAAATGTCGCTATTATTATCAGTTCGTCACACCGTTAAATGTTGACTTTGCTGCACCAGCTAGGTAATACTTAAAAGTTTAGTCAAGCGTTGTATAATTCCTCAAGAAGTCCTAGGAGGCGCTGCTTCACACGGAGTTATATTGGAAATTGTAATTCAGATCACGACACTAGGCGGAAAAAACCATTGTTTTCATATTTTTTGATCACCGTCGGGTGTCTGTGTACATTTTTTTTTCTGCATGGCACTTTTGTACGAGGCACTTCTGTAATGTGAGTTGTATGGAAGGAGAGTGTGAGAAGAGGCTGGGAGGGGGGGGGGGCATACTGAGAGTGAAGGATGCTGAGGGAGAGAGCAGGAGGTAGGGAAGGGGAGAGTTGGTGCTGGGAGTGGGGAAGTAATGTGGGGGGATAGTACCTGGTTAGAGGGGAGGAGTGCTTCTGGACTGCCATGATCCATAGAGAGGTCGAGTGCGGCACCACCTGGCAGTATTGTTGCCCAGTATTCACTACTGATGTTGCTGCTGCGGCTTGCCCAGGCAACACCGGAGCTCTATTTGTTCACCCACCAGTCCCTCAACCAACCCTGCTCCCCACAGTGCCCCCCTACTCAGCCCTGCTTCCCACCTTACCCACCCAACCCCGCCTGAATACCCCTTCCCACATAACCCCCCCCCCATTTATTTTTCCTACATTTTTTTTTAATGTAATTCATTGTCTCATCACCAAGACAAACGTTAAAAACTAATGAACTCGGGTACATCTAATATCTAGCCGTTTTCTGATACTTGGAGAGTGGAATTTAATTCCCTGGTTGCTGTGCAATAATAACAGACTACTTGTGGCATGACTTGTTTTGTATTCCGTTTTGTAGTCAGGCTCACCAGGTGACTATACTTTGTTTTATAATTTTTATTACCGGTACTGCTGTAGAAACATTTTATAAGACGATAAATTTATATTATTTTTTGTTATAATTTTGTTTGAGAGTATCGAATGTTGTATTCCAGCTGTAGATGTACCTAGACTAGTTAATTCCTCTCGGTGGGTAGCCTAGATGTGGACTCCCTTGTCAAACGCTGCTCTGCCTTCTCTTTGTACATGCTGATAAGATGGTTGATTATCCACCCGTCTCTCTCCTTCCGTATCTGAGGATATTGAAACTGAAAATCTAGAGATGTGTATTATTTTCGTGAGTTTTGTTACTTTCAGTACAAATCGATATGATTCCACAATTATTTTATGATGACTTCACTCTGTGAAGGCGGACTGGGAACTACCAGGAAACGAGAATAAGAAGTGTGCATTACCTTGTGATAGTCATGTATATACCGTGGGGAGGTCTCCCACTGCAACCGTACCCGGTAGTGGAACGTTGTCGGCTGGAATCGAACCCGATGCTGGACGTTTTTTCGGCTTGAACCGAGCCCGAGGCTAGAACGACTCATATGAGTGGACATTTTATGTCAAGTAATTATTGTATTCATGAGGATGTGCTGAACCCATGGGAGTTACAGCGCTTAAGAAATTGGACGTAATAAGAGTCGATCTAAGGATGGGTCAGGTACTGAGTGGGTCAGATATTGAGAATGGGCCAAGTACTGAGGTAGGTCAGATATGGGTTGTTGGGGTACTCACGATGGAGTGGACATAGGAAGCATCACAGTTGAGGCTCAGACTGGATGAGGACATAGAAAGATAGACGACGCTCTTGTGTAGCGGCATTCTTGGACATACACCATTATGTTGTACTCTCGGAAAACTTTGTTCTTAAAACTATCTTGATATGTTGGAGTGAAAGTTCAGTGTCTCATTGCGTGATTTTTTCCACTGCCATCTTTTTTTCCATCTTAGCTAGATCAACACAATTATTATTACAATTAAAACTAAGCTCAAAAACAAACAGTTTAAGCTTAAATTATTTAAAATAACTTCCGTAAAGTATTTAAATGTTTACTTCTATCATCGCAAACTAATTGTTGTATTCAGCTTTGTGTTGTGTGTGTGTAGGCAGAACGTATTCTTTGTAGTTTTCAAACTGACTTGTGGAACTTAGTTAAAATATTAACAGTACTTCTGTTTGCACATAATTTATGTTAATTTCGCACTGTTTAAAACATCCACGAACTATCCAATATAAAATCTATGAAATATGAAGCAAGTAGATGAATTGGATCTTAGACTTGTTCTTGTATTATGACCGGAATTAGAATGATGCGAGAATTATAATTTAGTAGTGGAGCTATTGGGTGTACGACGTGTGGTGGTTGAGCTGGCGGACGTACGACGTGTGGGGTGGTTTGGTGGCGGACGTGCAGCATCATAAGAACATAAGAAGGAACACTGCAGCAGGTCTACTGGCCCATACGAGGCAGGACCAAGTAACCTCCCGGCTTAAACCAATGACCCACCTAGTCAGGTCAGGTCACATCCACTTACGGAAGGAGCATGCCATCAGACCTATTAGCACAAGCTAGTCAGGTCCAACCCACGCCCACTCGTGTATTTATCCAACCTATTTTTAAAACTGCGCAACGTCTTAGCTTCTGTGACGGTACTCGAGAGTTTGTTCCACTCATCCACAACTCTGTTACCAAACCAGTGCTTTCCTATATCCTTCCTGAATCTGAATTTTTCCAACTTAAACCCATTGCTGTGAGTCCTGTGATGGCTAGATATTTTTAACACGCTATTTACATTCCAATTATTCCTGTTTTCCATTTATACACCTCACTCATCTCCCCCCCTCCTTAATTTTATGCCTTTCTAGAGAGTGCAGATTCAGGGCCCTCAGTCTATCCTCATAGGGAAGATTTGATACATGGGATCAACTTTGTCATCCTCCTTTGTACGTTTTCCAGAGCATTTATATCCACTCTGTAATACGGTAACCAGAACTGTGCAGCATAATCTAAATGAAGCCTAACCAAAGATATAGGCACCGCCACTACCTTGAATTAACATCAATAACCCCCAATCAAATCCAACTTAACGGAGGGTGTTTTGTCCTGTTGTGCACTTGGCTAGAATACCGAGGTTTGCTTGGGAGTTTCTCCGGATCCCGAATGTAAGACTGTGGTATACTGTTGCCTTTTATTAACAGTCAGACTTAGTGGACGAGAAACTGAATGAATAACGGTACCAGGGGCGGCGTGTGTTATGGAGGGAGAGGAAAGGAAGTGGGCCAACCTATATAGCTATTGTTAAGTCTGTATCTCAAAAGAAAGTCTCTGCCTGCTATCACTCGTAATCTCAACTGTTGTAAAACGCTGCATCTCTTGCTTAATGTCACTACTTAATCGACCTTAAAATCTCGTACGTTTTTCATTTATATATTTTTCATTACAGGTACAGAAAGGTATTCATGCACAATTCATGGTTCAGTTCGTGTAATTTTTATTACCCTGGATTTTTCCCACCAGTGTAGGGCAACCTAAGGAAGATGTAATGCGACTGGTCCCCAATATGGTTTCAAGTGGCGTTCCACAAGGATAAATTTTGGGTCCTTTATTCATATTCTTCATTAATGACGATGATGAAGGTAGTAAAAATAATCGACATGAAAAATTTCGCTGAAAACATTTAAAATAGGCCGACAAATAAATTCAGATGGAGATATCGTTGCACTTCAAAATGATTTAGACATGCTAATTTTGTGGTCGGAAAAATAGCATTTGAAGTTTAATATGGAAAAGTGCAATGCCCAGCACTTATAAACCAAATAATGTAGAATATGATCACAAAGAATGAAAAAAAAAAATACTGTGGTAAGAAGAAATCTGAAGCCAAGCCAGAAGTGCGTACCGTCAGTAATAAAACTAGCAGTTTGCTTGAGTTTCTAGTAAAAACAAGTATTAGCAACAGGACTCCATAGATTATTGTACAACATTGTACATCGTTGATGAAGCTTCATTTAAATTAATAGGCCCAGTTCTAGTCTCCGTACTAGAAAATGAATATAAATGCATTGGAGGCATTACAGAGAAGGATAAAACTAAATACACTATAAAAAATCTTCCATGTGAAGAGAGAGGAGCTGAACCCACACCCCTTTCTTTATTTTTTAGAGTAAATGGTAGTGACGTTTCCACATTTGTCTGAACTTGCTGTTTCTTGTAGCCTGTAACCTCCAGGTGACTTGTGTGGACTAGGACCAGTTGATTCAACTTGTCACTGCAGACACAGTCACTGCCAAAGTCGCCGCTGACATTGTCATTGCCAACGTCGCCGTTGAGTGTGTCTGCTGGTGCTCCAGATGCTGCTAGTGACTGGCACCAGTCACACTGAAGCTGCTGTAAACACTTCTCGAGCTGCTATGTCGCCATTCCCCTCAAGGAAGGTTCCTTGATGTTGGTGAGGGGCTCTTGATTTAGGGAATTGGATCTGTGCTCCAGTTCCCCAAATTAAGCCTGAATACCTTCCACATCCCCCCCCCCCAGGCGCTGTATAATCTTCCGGGTTTAGCGCTTCCCCCTTGATTATAATAATAATATGTCGCCATTACTGCAGTTGATCTCGACACAAGTTATTGCTGCTTAATGCTACTGCTAGTCTGCTGCTGACACCATACGATACTGTAGCTGCTGTCACTTCTGATGTCATCAGCTACCACCATTGACGTTGCTGCTATTAACTAAACTATACCGCTGTTTTTGCTGATAGCATTGTTGTTGCCTCTACTGCCAGTGATGTTCTTGTAAAAAGAGTTCCCTTTCATGGTCTTCTACTAATGTTGACCTGTATAGTCCTTGTGGCTTAGCGCTTCTTTTTGATTATAATAATAATAATAATAATACTAATGTTGACATTTTGTTTTAATGCAATCATTTTTGTTTTGAATGTGGAAAATTACATTTAGCTGAATGTATCTTTATGTACATAACAGTAAATGAACAAAGATAATTATACTCACCAATTTGATTGGAGATTAATGTGTCATGTACAGGACCCCCCCCCCCCCTTTTGCCTACATTTATGAAAAATTTACTGGCCAGAATATAAACATAAATTAGACAGCTTATCTGAGGTTCCTGGAGTTATCCTGACCTGTCGCCTGATATTTCAAGTTATGCAGTAATTCACATCCAACAATTTCGTCACCTATTTGAGAGGCGTCAGCCCAATTTTAACCTCTAGAGCACGAAAAATTCTTCCCATTACACCAACATTTCTAATCCAGATTCAAACAACAAAATGGCAACTGTCTTCTGCGCAGACGCAGGCTTTCCATTTTCTATGACAAATATTAAATACAGTATGACCATCTATTTACATATAACTACTGTATTTCTGGAAAATATATACAGTATTTTCCATACTGTGGCCGGGCGGAGTTCGTTGCTAAACGACTCAAATTACTCCTTCCTTTAGGAGACGATTCCAGCCGGTTC